TCACATGTTCAACAACAATAGGAGCACCTTAATTGCCATTTGGGATACACACCATAATAGCATGTTATTGCAAGAAAGGAACTTTGCTTTTCAAATTTAAGTCATCTCACAACAATAGTACCAGATGGGATATGAATAATCCGTGTGATTCCCCAATCACGAAACAAAAATGTCCCAAGATAACCGTAGGAAACAACAGTATGAGCACGTACTGGGCTTAAATTGTCTCAGACTTTAAGAAATGAAGGCAGCATCTTAGATTGTGTTCAGAAACTGATGAGTCACTAATGTGACAAAGCAAAGAGAATACAGGGCAGGGATCTAGTGCTGCCACTCTGCTTACGCTAACTTAAGTGTCTTCTAATGCAACACCAATAGCTTATGCTGGCATGGTGGCATTCAATTACTGATGGTGTGCTAGAGGTCACTTACACTAGTAAGCTGTCAATTTTTAAGCAGAGTGGCAGCACTGGACACTGCCCATTGGCCCTGGCCTGGTGAAGACCAAGTCAAGCAAAATCCATCTTCAGTCACGAGGGTCCCTGGGAAGCCGTGAAAAAGTAACCTCGATTTAAGTTAGCCTGAAAATGGCAATAATACAGCTTAAGAATTATCATCAGGCCTTGTTTCCACATGTGTGAAATAGTGTGCTTGGATCATAATTTTGCTCCATCCTTTGAAACTTCTTTCATGTCATATATACAGAAGAGGGCCGGAAGCTGTAGGACAACTTTCTGTCTCAACATGCATTGGACTGTGTCCTTAAACAGGCAGTCATTTTACCTTTTAGACATTTCAAAGAGTGCTAGCAGCTATTATCCAAGTATTTTGTAGAACTGTATGTCAAAGTTAAACATCTGCATTCTTTGCCCCTCTTAACTATTATTGTTGGCTACTGAATTGCTTCCTCCTACCTTTTCATCTTCCTCTCTAGTTAATTCAGTATAGTTAGCACTACCATCATCATTAGCATTCTTTGCCCCAGGGTGTCTGCACCTGCTCTGCCAATACACTTTTGCCAATGCCCTTTCAAGCAGTTTGTTTCTTTAAATCACAAAACAAATATACATTCATTTTATCTTCCCTTGCAAGCTTATTACTGGATTCTTACTAAACCACTTACACACCATTTATTACAGATTCAGTGGTTTCTCCCTTTGTGCCCAAATGTGGGATACCTAATTGGCAATAGAAAAAAAAAAAGGCTTGGCTTGGTACCACATGAAAACTACAGCAATTTTTTCCATGAAACTGCACTTTTATCAGAGCAATCATGGGCAGCAAAATTAGCAAACATGGAAAGGCACTAGTTGACATGACAGATGATTTGTGTACAGGTATGACATATAACTTGCTCAATAAAGTAGGCATTTTATCCATAAATACTTAACGCCTAAAAGAACACTGTTATCCATCACACACATACAGTGTGCAACAAGAGCAGATGATATGATAGAACTTGCACCTATTTATGAGGATGCTTTAAGAAAAAAAATACATGGTTGTGAAAGCTGGCAAACTGCCATTATTTTCTTCAGTTGTATAGGGCAACATATAGCACTGCCCACATACATAGTTATGGCAAGAAAAGGAACCTAACTTACTTAGACTTGGTTCAGATAGATGCGTCTCCTCCACTCACTGGCTGGAGAACGACATGAGCCTTGGGCCTCAACACATTTTGGTTAAGTAACTATTGTTTCCTACGAAGCCTAAACTGGGAAGCTGTTAAACCAGGTAGTCTTCAACCATGGTGCACGAAAAAGGAGCAGTGTGAAGACAGTGTGTATGAGCAGACACTTATGCACAGTGCAGCTTAATAATCTGCAATAAGTGCATCTCAACTGGGCTAGAGAATATCCCAAGTCTTAGAATACAGCAGGGCAGGGCAGCTTCTGCGTCAGTGTGGGTATTTGGAGTCCAGGAGATCTGCTGAGCGTGCCCAAACACTATATTTAAATGTTCACTGTACAGTCTTATTCTTGGGCCTTAAAATAATTGTCACAAGGCTAAATCATGTGCATTTGTGCTGCTGAGCACTTTCTGCTGAATGTTTCCTGCCAGCATGCCATACAAGACTTTTTCACATTTCATGCTTGCATGTATACAAGGAGTCATTATGACATTTGAGGTAGCCCAAGCACTACCACTCTGCACCTATTATGGAAGGCCAAAGGAGATGTGGTGACCAGTATCTAGATCCCTCTTCCATTGCTTTTTGGAGATCAGACCCTTGCACAGATCCACAGCTCAAACAGAGTTGCTATCCTGGTAAGTGGCCTTGCTTTCTAGCTTCCTCGAGTTGCATGTCTCTGCTAAGGGAAATCAAAACCTAACCAGCTATGGTCACCTTTCCCCTGATCCTTTGTACATATAGCAAAACCAATGGTTTGGTGTCAAATTCAGAGGGAAATGACTTATTTGGCTAACAAAATATAAGCTTTTTCTCTGCAAGACAGCACGAGGTATCTGGTCATCAAATCCATTTGAAAATGACACTGTTGCTCTATCTCATCCTTTCCTCAAAACACAAAAGAGGCAACCATACTTTAAAAAGCCAAGCAGTTTTTAAGTTAATGGTTATCTACTGTTCGTACCCCATAAAAGACAGGGACAACCTTTGCCTCTCTCAAGTATGCTTGCCAATGGCAATGATAGATAAGAACTTTATTATGGTCAAAGACCAGCTCCATTCAATAAATACATAGATTTTAAAAAAGAAGAAAATGCATTGAAGGTTGTCTGTCGTAAAACCCCAGTCAGATTAATAAATACTTCGACACAACATACTACTACCGTAGTTCTTATCAGTCATCTTAAGTCAGTGACATTCCCAGACTTTGTCTTTTGTTCGACTAGGTAGGGCCACACTCCGTCTGGATCTGTCTTCGGACACCCATTGCGGCCGTGAAGAATTTAGTGACACTGTATTTATCGCTGGGTTAGTGTCAGACAGCAGTATATAGATATGTTGTTGTTCCATATGGCCCGGGAAGTGATTCATCAGTGGGGAAATTAGTGCAGTGCAAATATCCCTATGGAAAGTGCACCTCAACAGGACGTGCTCTGCCGTTTCTGTCTGTTTCATAGTACAGGGGCAAAGGCACCCTGACCAGGGCATCTCTTTGTACCGTCCCTCCAAAACTGCTGAAGGGAGTCCGTTAAGGTGGGCCAAGGAAAAAGCCCTTCTGTGTTTATGGAGTTCCAACTGTTTGAGATAGGTGCACCCTATTACAATGTGTCTGTAGTCTTCCCCAAGATAGAATTCAGGAGCTCTATTGAGATCGCTCTGTTTTTCAATGTCTGCTATGCGCTGCTTGATAGTTTCCGTTACCTGTTCAAAGCCCATATTTAGTACAGTCTGAAGGGGAAGGCCCAGGAGAGCTATTTTCTGCTCGATTGAACTAATCCAGTTGGATTTGAAATCGTCTGGCAGATTTAATGGAGCAAGGCCAACAGGAAAGTATACCAATCTAAGCCAGTGCGCAAGGATAGCTCCCCAGATCCTAGCTTCAATTTTGATCTGACCAGTCTCTAATCTTATCTTTGCATTGGAGACATCCCTAGGAACACCCAGTATTGCCCTCAGAAATTTTGACTGAACATATTGTAGTGCTTGGGTATTCAGGAAAGGCACCAACTAAGATCCATACAGTAGCTGAGCTAGTACTTTTGTTTGGTATAATGGAGGGCTATGGGGAGCCAGTGGCAATGTGGAACTACAGATTTACCTGGAATTTATTTCATGTTCTGGTAATATCCTCCTCCTCCTCGAATGGCATGAATGGCTGTTGGAGAAGATGCTGGATAATGACCAGGGCGTATAGGCTTGGCTGCAAAGAGAAAGATTAAAGTCATGGGAGAGATTGGTTTAGATAAGCTGCATACCACTTTCTATTTTGTTTCAGCATTTATATCCTGCTTTTTCTTTCTGCAGAAAGCCCAGACTGGCTATCACCACACACAAATTTCTGCATCTGGCAAATCCAGTACGTTGCTTCTGCAAAGCATTCTGACTTTATTAGGTTAGTTGTTCTGGATGCTAGTTGTTCTGCAACTGCTAGCAGAACAATGTCAATTTTTATTATTTTCCCACTAACATAGCATTGGATATAAACATACAAGAATTATTAAATTCATATCAAATCTGTCAGGATCTTATCAGCAACAGAAGTGCTGTTTGTTGTCCCTCCATTATTGTTTATGAGGCTGGGAATCACAAAAACAGGGTCTTTTCTGTGATGGCCTTGTAGTTGCAGAACTCAATTCCAAGGGTATGTTCCTACACTATTTGCTTAAAAAGAAAAAGAGACCTTTATATTTTCAATTATATTTTATATAATTTATTATATTATCCTGCCTTTTTTCCTTTCAAGGAACTTGAGAAGGCTTACATAACTCCCCTTTCAATCTTATCCTCACAACAACAACCCTATGAGGTAGGCTGGGCTGAGAATCTGACGGGCACGGTCACCAGTGAGCACCATGGCTGAGTGGGGACTCGAACCTAGATCTCCTGAGTCCCACACTCTTAACCAATTATTCTTTTGTTATATTTTAGGAATAATAACCATTGTATGCTGCCTTGGGAAGACATAAACTCAAACTCTCTAGATCAGGATGGGCAACTTGTGGACCTATTGAGTTCCATCAGCTCTAGCTAGTATAGCTATTGTTGCAGGCAAAAACATCTGGAGGACCAGAAGTTTCCCACCCCTGTTCTAGACCAAGGCATGTCCTTATTTTACCCCAGATGCACAATTTTTCATATGTTTGGCACCCAAAGCGTACAGGAGTTCCCTAAGCAGCAGACCAAGCCCTTCAGCTTATACAGGTCAATACTCTGGCTGGTCACCCAAATAAGTTGAAGCATTTGTGGACATGCTAGCACTATTCAATCGCTATGTGGCATGCAATGCAACAGCTGCTAACTCTTTTGGCCAAAACTGTGCTGTGCAATTAGAATTTAAAATTTTGGACAGACCATGAAGCTTGAGTAAAGGAGCCTTATTTTTAGCAACTGATGGATGTATTTGTGTGGCAGTGCCAGGAAATTATGTTTGATGCTTGTGTCTCACTTTGAGTTTGCCTCAAGGTATATAATGGTGGAACTGCCTGAAATGTTGCAATAAGGCTACCAGAAGTGGAATAGTGATAGTATTCTATGATGCAAGGCAAGCATCAAAACCCTTCTGGTATTGTGCTCTATTTCTTCCCTTGACCATCAATGATTAGACAAGGGTGAAAGAAAGTACTAAGATTATTGTATAGATTAATTTATTACATTACTCTATCACCCAAAAGTTGAAGCTTTCTGGTGGATCACAAGAACAGAATCTGTAAGTATGCATGCATGCATGCATGTATTTATTAGATTTATACTCTGCCCTTTTCCTATTTAAAGAAAAGAACTCAAGGAGGCTTAAATCATTCACCTCCTCCTGCTCTCAAATCTTGTCCCCACAAGAACATCCCGGTGAGGTAGGCTGGGCTGAGGGTCTGTGACTGGCCCAATGTCACCCATTTGGCTCCATGGCTGAGTGGGGACTAGAGCCCAGATCGCTTGAGTCCCAGTCCCGTGCCACCACACCACGCTACACAACATGATGCAGTATACAGGAGAATACAGGAGGTCCAAAACACTCCCAGGATGCACAATATTCTGCTGATAACCATTATTACTAATCCCTTGTGGAATAATACATACCTATCTGAGCAGAGTGTGCTCTCCTCGCCATGTTCTTGGCCCTCACCGCCTCTTTAATGCGATCAACCTCCTGCTGGTATCGTTTCCGGTCCCGCATGGCATTCTCCTTAGCTTCTTTCAAGGCACTCTCCAAGGCCTTAACTCTCTCTGCTGTAGCTCGAAGTCGTTTTTCCAGCTTAGGAAGTTCACAACGAAGATCTGCGTTATCACGTACCAACTGTAAAACATTAAAAACTTATTTGATTATGGATAGAATTTTACTGCAAAAAATTCAGTGAGATGGGGCTCTTGAGGGCAGCAGCCACTGCCACCATATAGATCCTGTTTGGATAGCAGCTTCTGGGGAAAAATCTCTGCCTGATGACAGGACATGCTACCTTCTTCCCCAGTCCTTTAAATCCATATAAATGGAGTAATTCATTAATTGTGCCAGACCAGATTTATTTGAAGGCAAAAAATCTCTAGAAGCCACAATAAAGTACTGGATACAAGTTCATGATGGCATTCAATGGCCAGTCTCCCTGCACTTTTCCTGTTTCATGCACATGCTAGTTACTAATGAGCAGGCCTCTACTCATTATGAAGATTTCCATAGAAAGTAAAGAAAGAGTGGGTAAAGGAAAAAAGAAGGAATATGCTGATGGGAACAAAGAATACAGCTTTTAAAAATTACAAATCCTATCTGAAGACCATAGTTGGCCCAACACACATGGTAAGCGGATTTCAAACATTCTGCCTGCCATCTGAATTGTCATCTCGTCGAAATCCTTTTGGGCCATCTCTGTGGATTTAACATTTACAGGCAGCCATGAGGATGTTGCCAATTGTTCCTCTGAGGGGTCCTGCTTGTCACATTACTCAAACTATCAATGCCCCAAGCCTAATGGCCTAACCAGATTCACAGGCCTGTATCTAGTCTAGCCTGCATGCTAATGGGGTTTACTGCTACTGCAATGAGGGCACAACAATCCTGAACCAGTAAGAAAGAAGCAGACACACTCAGTTTTGGAATGGGATGGGTCAGCCAAGCTTGAAGAAAGGAGCTCTACTGATCCGTCTCATCCAGGAACAAGTGCTTCCAGGATTCCTTTTGGAAGCACTAATTCCTGTGGTGTCCACAGGGGGTCCTGCAAATGCAATGGAACCAGCATAGTCACAGTGGCAAGATGGGATACCATCCAGATTCTGCCAGACATGAAGAAAGCATTTTGTTTTTAATAATTCCATTGGACCAGCCTCCATCTGGATGGTAACAGCAGCAGAACAGCATGTAAATGTCCTATTAGTGTTTGCATTAAAATGAACTAAGTTTTAAAGTAGAAATGTTCCTCCCTAAGAAGGGGAATTCCACAGTCCCAAAACAGGAGAATTCGGATTGCTTTCTCCCTCCCACATTTTCAACAGACCCGTTCTGGCTGATCTAGCCAAGGCCCACTAAACCAGTAACAAATCCACTGTATTCTTGTAAGGTTTTGTGCTCTTAGAGGTTGCTATAGTATTTTTGCTTGTTTATTGGATGACGCATATGCTGAAATCCAGTCAGACGCCACCTGTTACTTTGATTATAATCTTCCTGTCACCTTAGGGCCAAAGCTGACATCAGTTCGTGTGAGGTTTTCCCCATATTTTTATTCTAGAATATACAGAGGGGGTTCTGTGAATCAGGACCATAGCATGGCAGGTACCGATGCTTGGTTAAGCTACTGTGGGTCTGATTCAGATTGGAAGGATGGGGAAAGACAAGGCTAGTTCCTGTGACTACTCTAGAATAAAAATGAACAAGCAGCAGCCCTCAGGCCATGGCTCTTGAACATGTGGTAGTCTAGATAAGAGCATCAGTCCACAGGAGTAACGCAGTAATAATCACACCTGTTTGTGAACCTTTGTAAGTTGTTCCAGGTTATTTTCCAGAAAGGAAATTTTCTGTTTCTGAGCAGCACTTCCACCTCCATCATCACTGTCCAATTCAACACTCTGTGTAGGCAAAGAACCAAATTAGAACTAATTCTCTGAATTAAAAAAATACACCATGATTGCAAGCTATAACATTGTGTGGCAAGATCTATCTTCTCAAGGAGGACATACCATACTAATACAGACTGCAGTGTTGTGCCAGCAGGTGAAGCTAAAGCTGTAAAAGTGGTAAACACACAGCATTTCAGTCTGACTGGATGTTCAGATTTCTAAACAAGTTACAAGGCTATAAATGGGCACAGTTCAAGTAAAACAAAACAAAACCTTAGCCCCAAATATTAAGCTAAGCCTTTAAATGGTCTGTCATACCATTCTGATTTTCAGATATTTAATTTTCACCAGAAAGCTACTCTTTTCAGTATTTCCACAATGGCCTTAATTAAGCAAGAGAACTTTTGCCATTACATAAGAGAAGAGGTTTGGGGAATCAGATTTCAATTCATATTAGTGTAGATTATGCTATTTTTTCTATACAAATGTAAATGTACTACCAATTAGAGAGTCAAATTGAAAACCATTATTATCAAAGCTGTTTTTAAATGCCTAGGGAACTAATGGTTTAAACTGTTTGCAAACAAACTAACTTTTAAAGCAACTGTTCTATTTTAAGAACTAATTGCTGTTGCCACCTCGACAAAAACAAAAAACCAAGGAACAAAACACTGTTATACTACTGCTGTGGTTGTCTTATTTTCAATAAATTATTTGCTTAACAACCCCTACTTCCAGTGCCAAAAATTTCTTCTAGTGATTTGTAAAGTGTATTGTATTACGGGTTTACCCAGCCTTCTCATTCCAGCAAATCATGATCCCATGAGAGACAGCATAAAAGATTTCAGCTAAAATTCACTTCCTTCTATACTCTGATGTAGCTGTATTGCTTCAATAACAGAGTGAAGTTAAAGAGAAAGCATTGCATGTGATGTATCTTTAGGGTTTTAATCTCTATAAATCACCCAAAGAGCTTTAGGGTGGTATAGAAATTTAATAAATGAAATGTTAGGTAGTGGAAAGTTTTGTGCACAGTCTGCAATATTGTTTGCCTGTTGGAAAAAAGCAAACTTACCCAATATGACCTATCTGCTTCACAGCATCCCTTCCCCTTCCCCCCTTATACTTCCTTCAACTGCTTCAAAAGAAGAAAGAATTACAGTTTTAGCTCCCTGTTCATCATAGTTTGCCCTGGAAACGCACCATCAGCATTTTAAGTATCAAGGACCACCAGAAAATACTCTGTAGACCTCTGATGTCTGTGAACTGCAGTTTAGGAATCATTGATTTATACTATACGCTTGGTTGTAAAGCCACAATTAACATCATGACTTGAAGTACTGTTCTTTCCAGGCATATTAGTAGCCCTCAGGGTGAGCAGTTTCTGGCATAGTCTGTTTATATACATATCCATCTGTAAGTATTCAAATATAAAGTATTTGTACTCTACTGCATTATACCCATATCATTGGCAAATAGCATAAAAAGAAGCTAAGTTGAATTGAATTCTGCCTTTGCACCACAGAATCTTAACTTACTTTTTTTACTCTAGTGGTGAGGTCTTGAACAAAGAGTCTGCGTAGGTTATGGAGTGTCTGAAGCTCTCGAGCCTGTAAATATATTTTTAAAAATAAAATATTATCTTAATATGATTGCAGTACCAAGCAAGCTGTTGGGAAAACATAAAGACAGCTCAAGAAGGGAAATAGTCTAAATAAATTACTGTGGTGTTACACTGGCTTAAAGGAAAGACAGAAATTGAAGTCACACTGTTTCTTCTTCTCAATACATGGAAAACGGAATCTCTTACAGTGAATCCTGTGTCCCTCCAGACATCAATAAGTCCTACAACTCCCATCATGGGAGATTTTGAAGTTGTAGTCTCTTTAAGTATCTAAACATATATTTGATTATTCCCTTAGTTCTTTTTATATAAAATGTGCATTCATTGTGCACAAAAAGCAGAATAAAAGCTAGGGCTGTTGCCAGTTAAGCAGGTTTAGTTAATTGCTTGATTAAATTTGCATAAGATTTGTGTGTGTGTGTGTGCGCGCATGCATGCATGCAAAAACAATGCTTCTGAAGCAAAAGGCACACACTTTTTAAGATGATAAAATGCACATTTTATATGAGGAATCTTAGGCAAAAAATTCAGTGAACTTTCCTATCCCATGACAGGTCCCATCCCTTGCAGCTACCGTCATACAGAAGGTGATAGCCACCCACCCATGAGGGGAAAGTCCACAGCATTTGAGACAGCAGCTACAGGAATAGATCACCTATATGAATCTGTATTCTGCACTTTAAGAAGCCAGGATACGGTGAAGGATGCAAGAAATGTGCTTCAGAAAGCAATCTGAACCACTGACTTTCAGGACACAAAATATGGAAGCATATAACGCTGAAGAGTGAAATAGGTGGTACATTCTCTGCAAAGTTCTTTACTAAACACAGCTTTTAGATTTTTCAAAACTACAGGTTTTGGGAATTGTGGGAGTTTCAATCCAATATATCTGGAAGACACCAAGCAAAGGAGACTGGTTTAATACATACCACAGTTTCTTCCAGTCCCTTAAGATCTTCTCTTGCTTGTTGCCTTTTATCATTAAGCAATCTAGACAGAAAGGAAAATGTTGTGTGATTCAACATATTAAGCAGAATAACATATTATATACTAAGATCCCAAGAAAGTGAAACACACTTGCTAGGTTCAGCAAAATTAGGCATTCCTAAATCTGGGATGTTCACATGCAGCAAAGCCTACTACAAAGCCCTCTAGGACTCCTTAATTTTTAAAAGTACAACTGCAAAAAGAAGCTGGGGTAGCTTGTGATGCTGTGCTGTGGTGACTGCATCCTCATTTATTGCACCTTCTCCAGATCTTCCCCATGTTGGGACAAGGCCTTCAGGAGCCAAAGTGCTCCTGCCTTAGTGATTCTGTGCCAAATGGCAGCCAAAGCTCCAGCTGGTTACATTAGCATGAAGCCTGGAAGATGCAACAAGTGGCCATAGGTTTTCTCATTATATAAACAACCATAACAAAAACTCTTCTCTTTTCTCAGTGAGATCCGAAACTAGATGCCGCCCTGAAGAATCCTGTTCAGGTTTCCAGTCAGGTATGCTCTCTTCTATAATGCTCTATTTCATTCCCCGCACCTATTTCTGTGGCCATGGAAATGCTCTGTCTGGTTGAGCCATTGTTGGCAATTCCCTCCACTGTGTTTTACTGTCGTTCTGCTTCAGAAAACCATGGCGTTCTCTCAAGCCCACTGATCCCACCCCACATGCCAGAGCATCAGTGGCACCATTTTGGCTACATAACAATAGGTGCTATCATCAATGACATAAGAAGGGAGAGCAGAGGTACATTCTGGAAGCTTCCTACTAAGGAATATTTCCAGGGTGAAACCTGAGCATCAATCCCAAACAGTGCTAAGATCACATTTCTAAACCATCATGGCAGAAATCAAGGGCTGGCTCCAGGTTTTGGGGGACCCTGTGTAAGATGCACTCCGCTGGGTGGTTCTCTAACAGATTCACCTTCTAGCGGCCATCAATCAGGAAGTGGGTGAGCAAGAAATTGGGGCAACATCAGCCTGCCTCCTCTGGGCAGCAGCTGCTCCCAACAGCTATTGGCACTTGCTTTCCCACACACAACCAGGCAGGCAATCATTAGCGGCAATCAGCCCCAGCTGCAGCAGCAGCAGCTTCATTCAGGCAGAGGGAGGGAGCATCACATGCAGCTGCCTCTGCATGAACAATGAGAAGAGAGAGGTGTGAGAAAGGGTCGGGGCAGTGACAGTATTGTAGACTCAGCAGATGCCTACGACACTAATCCGCAGTGGTACTCTTGCACTACATGTAGCTTTGAGCCTCATCCCATTTGAGGAACAAATGCAAAAACATTTTACTGTGCCCTTTCTTGATGGTGACTACCAGGCGGCATCCAGGGTTGGCTCCAGGTTTTGGGGGAACAGGAGCATGGAAGGAACATGCCATCAGTGATTTCCCCAGGAAAGATCAGGGGTGGCACAAGAGGCATGCTGTCACATGAAGCTGGGGATAATTGCTTAGATGCTTGGATGTTGGCATCCCAGCAGGGCAACTTCTTCTTACTAGTCACAGAAGAAAGCAATCACCATGCTAACTTACATGAGCATTTCCAGCTTCTTTTCACGTTCTTGATCTTCCACTTTTAATTTTTCATAGTCAGAACTCAGTTTCTCTTGTTCTAGTTGCAGTTTCTGATTCATACTGAAACAAAGAAAAGCAGTGATAATCAAGCAAGTAGGAGAGAAAACACCACACATTTAAAAAGCCTCAGTGGCTAGATCTAAGATACTCAATGCCTACTCTCTGGGAAGATATACTGATATGACCATTATTCAACATTCTTTTAGAGAATTTCCATTTATACGTATCCCATAATTCTGAGCTCATTATTATTTCTTGCACAGCTTTGTCAAGATCTGATTTACCCTGTGGCAGTGAGTGCTGAACTAGGGTTCTGCTTTGCAGCTCCATCACTGCACTGGAAAGTGCAGGACTAGGGTCCTGGCTCCACCAGAGCTCTCCAAGTCTAACAAGGGAATCAGCAGGAAGAGCTAGATAAGAACAGGCGCTCCCCTCCAGCCTTGCTGGGGTGCTTCCCCTTACCCGTTTCTTTCCTTGACTCCTGCCTCCTGAATCCTTGCTTGTGGACCCTGCCTTCCCGCCTCTTGGATCTTTGCCTGCTCCTGTTCCGGCCTCACCTTGCCACACTTGGACCCTTCCTTGTGATCCTACTCTCGGGTCCAAGTTTCCTGTTGTGCTGCCCTCTCAGTTCCTGACCTCTGGCCTCTTCTGACTACGGTTGTGTCTATCAGATTATCAACCCAACTCTGGCTTGACCACTTGGCCTTGTTGCTGGACTAGTGATTGCACTCTGGGCTGACAGCGCCTCACCTGTGATGCCCGGGTCCCGGCACCCTGCCCTGACTCCAGCCACCCACACTCCAGACCTGACAGGCCTACTGATGCGAAGCCAAAGGATAAAGTAGGATTGCTTTGTTCAAACAAGCCACTGGTACCATCCATTGCAAAAACCCAGGTACTCAGGAAAAAAGAGGAGCTGAACACATACACACTGTGGGTGTTGTACTACCCACCATGGGGCATTCACCTTATCTGCATATGCAGCGACACAATCTCCTTTCAGTTATCAACACAGTAAGCCAGGTTATGAAGAAACTATTTAAAATCGAGATGAGATGCATGAAGGTGACTCATAAGCAACGTAAGTAGCAATCTTACTCCTTTTTTGCATTAACTGTTCTATTATGCAATAAAAAAACCCCAAACCACACCATTAAAAAAGGAAGAAAACCGAACCATTACATTTTTAAATAAAATGTAAAAATACCCATAGCATTAATTATATGTATATTTTTATGCCTATGTGTTAGTATATAATAAAGCATACCACCATTATAAAATAATTATGCATGGACTTCAAGCAAAGGCTTGAAATTTCTATATATTTATCCATTTATATAATATGCCTAAAGGCCACTTGCTTAAAAAACTGAATCATGCATTAAATCCTCCACTCACTAGGTTACTGCAGGTGGCCGTTTATCTTTCCAGTACTATAATATTAGACTTTAAGCTGTCAAAGGGATGCAGAAAATCAATTTGCATGAAATTTCAAGAGATGGGCAAACAATACAAAAGAACATTAATATTCCTGAATATCAAAGAATGTGCTATCACAAGATTTGTCTGAATTATTACCTCTTCCCAAAAGGAAGTTGCCATTGTGCATTGCCAAAACGTATGAAGAAGAGAAGGTATTAGAAGTACTGTACCTCCAAAAATTGGCCGATGTAATAAAGCCTTTTCCAAAAGACATTGTGGCATCCTGTGTATTCAAAATGTTAACGCTTGCTGAATTAAGTGTAGCCTAAGACCCACGACTCCCTGTGGAGCAGATACTAATGGGGCATTCCATTGACTGGTCAAGACGGTGTGCTCCAGCATTCCGCTCTTGGTCAAGGACCTGCATCTCATATTTACTCACCACTAATAAATATAGACAGGCTGATGTAACTGTTCCGCCTTAATCAATATTTCCAATAACACAGACAGCTCTGAAACTGTAAAAGCAACAGGATCAAACCTGGATTCTAACAAATATTTTAACTGCATCTTTGGCCATGCAGCCATAGCTGATAATTTATATTTAGCGCACACAGCAGAAAATCGTGAGCAGCAACCTGAACCAAAACAAAAAGCTGCCTGTCCATCCAAGCCTGCCAAACAAAGGTTACTTTGCCAATTTTAAAATCTGGATTTCCCCATAAAGTTAATTTTCCATATGAATATATTTTATTTATTTATTTCAATTTATATCCTGCCTTTTTCCTACAAAGGGCTCAAGGCAGCTTACATCTCCTCCTCCGTCTTATCCCCACAACAACAACCCTGTGAGGTAGGTTGGGCTGAGAGTCTGTGGCTGGCCCAAAGTCACCCAGTTGGCTCCATGGCTGAGCGGGGACTAGAACCCAGATCGTCTGAGTCCCAGTCCCATGCTCTTAACCACTACACCACACTGGCTCTGATATATGTCAAACTGTAATTGTGATGTGAAAATATATGCCACAACTTGGATACGTCCAGTGCCCAATGCAATCCACTTGGGAAGCAGATCAAGAAATGAAGATTCCAGAACTGACCAGAGAGATGAATAAGTGGAAAAGACCAAAATCTAGTGCAAGTCAACAAATTGGCCTGTTGGAACAAGGAAAGATCGGGTCCAAATCTACCTCCTTTGATTGAAATTTGTATCCTTTCCAAGGATATTCATGGTGGAGTGGAACATTAGGCTTTTGGAAATATTTGCCAGAAATAAAACAACAGAATACCACATAAACATACACAATTTGATGCATTTCGTTCATTTTGCCTACCCAATACACTTAGCTTTAAGGATGCCTGTCTATCAATGTCCCTTGAGTTTCCCTTAATTAGCTTATGCAAGTTTAGCTTAATTATTTGTGAGATATCTCTAGGGACACTCCCAAATAAGTTTTTAAAAACCCCAAAAATCTCAGCTTAATGTCTTACACTGATATACCAGCCACTGCTATACAATTCTGAATAAATTTTTAAAATCAAAAATGTATGTCTTCAGGACAGATCACTATTTTGTCATTATCAACTCGCCAATGCCTCCTCTTTGCATCAAGGAAACGCCGAGGAGATTTCCCTCTCTGGATGGGCGGGGCAGGAGGGCAGGCTTTGGAGGATAATAGACTTTACAGTTGTTTGTTCATAAGTACAGATTGTTCGTAACCTGGACATTCATAACTCAGGGACTGTATTTTTAAAACTTTTCTAAAAATTAGCAAGGAAACATTAAGGCAGCCAAAACCAACATGGTTTGGATTATTTGTAAGTAGCAAATCCAAACAAACTGGGGCATGGTCTAGTAATGTGTTGCAATCTTACAGTCTTTGATTTGGTGTAACAAGGATGTGGAAACCAAAGAATAACCCAACCAGAAACAATTACAATAGACAGAAAATATAAATGTAAAGTCTTTCTCACGAAGACACAGTATGCTCCAGGCCAAATTCTGCCAACTAGTCTTGAATTGCACATTTCACCATTGCTTGACTCTTAGTGGCTGCTGTCTTCCCATCCAGAAGGTGCTCTAAGATCTCATTAACTCTCCCATCACATAACCATATGTAATATCAAATCATGTGATAAAACATTCCTAAAATATGGTTGGAGAGGCATTATTAGGCCCATATACATAAACCAAAACAATTGCTTTCTCATTATGCTTTTCAGCCAAAACAAAAAAAATGCCTATCATTAATGAAAACAAATGATAATGAAAAAAAATAATCATGGACAGAAACAGTGTTTATGAATTAAAATCACTACCACTTTAAACCTGGCTTAAGTGTCAGTTGCATAGACCCCTCCCACCCAGTCTCTTATGCCACCAATTCATTTCCTGTAAAAAAAGAACCCAGTTCAGTACCATATTTCTTTAATTTGGAAAGCATTTTCTTCTGTTTAATTGGATTCTGCAATCTCCTGACTTTCCAAGACATCTTTTTAAATATGGATTATCTATATATTGTTTGCCCTTGCACACATACCAACCTCACTCTTGCTACCAAATTGAACTACTCATATAGATATTTTCTAAGTATATATTGTTGATACAATATATTTCATAATGTAATTACTAGGCCCTATACCCATATAGTGAAAAAAAACAAAAAGGACTTAAAATCAACTATAAATACATTCCATAACAAAAACCGTCTAAATCACTGAAGCAAAATGCAGGCAGTCTCCTAATTATGAATGCCCAAGTTATGAACAACCTATACTGATGCACTGCCATAAAGCCTATTAATTTTAAAAAAATACTGCAGAAAATTATCACCATAGAGAAAGAAGAAGTGAAAGGGGAGAGAGGGAAAGCCTCCAAATCATCACCACAGAGAGAGGAATGAAAAGGTAGAGTAGGTCCTCCTGCCCTGCTCCTCCAGAGACGAAAGTCTCTTCAGTATTTCCTGGCTGCAAAGAAGCAGTGCTGGTGAGTTTGAGCAGGGTAGAGGGTGTGATTTATTTGCATTTTTCCACTTTCACAGGGGTCCTGTACCCTGCAAAAGTGTAGGACTGACGGTACATGATCCAACTTATATGCAAATTCAACTTAAAGGTGAATTTCCATTTTTTCAGGAATGGAACTCATTCATAACCAAGGGGCTGCCTGTAAAACAAAACATTTTGGCTACCAGCAAGACCACATTAGAACCCATCCCTACTGATTGCACTTCATTCCTACTTGGTTATCAATTATATAACTGATCACTAAGACCAGAAATGCCACAAATTAACCTTTTCCCTGTTAAACTAAACAAGAAAGATTTAAAAATGAGGGAAAGAGAAAGTGATAGAACAAAGCAGGCGGGAGAGGAAGACAGTCAAAACACAGCAGAGGAAGAAGAAAGATGGCAAAATGCCCAGAAATTTATCTTGTCGAAGTATATAAGCCATGGCCACATGCCCAGTTTTCTTCTAAAACCAACTTCTAAAAAGTGGAGAGCAAAATTAAACAGAAGCTGCAACAGAAACTAAGATCTGAAAACAACTACTGTGTAGGATAGGTAGCCTGAATTCCCACAAGGAAATGGAATTCTATAAACATAGCAGGATAAAGTGTATGGTGTTTCAGCTTAAGATCTCTGGCCATGTCATGCTTTCCAAAGCTTCCTTCTCTGATCATATATTCCCTTTGTGAAATCTGGCAAAAGCATAATTTCATCTTTTATCTGGACCCACAAGAACGGCTTCTTCTGCCTAGCTGCACAAAGGAGGTATTCTTTAGTAGATACACTCAGGGGCTGGAGAATAACCAGTCTTGCTCTCACTTCCCAGGTAGGACCAGAAATAAAACAAACATGTTTAATATAAGCACGAAAACTTGCTGGTGCTTTCAAAGCTTGACACAGGACCCAAATCCACATAATTATAGACCAAATCCACTTTATTTTTGCCTATAATTACCACCAGCTCCAATTAGCATAGTGAAGGTTGATGTGAATTAGAAGACAAATCATCTGGAGGTTTACAGGCTGACCACCCCTATGTCAGTAGAGACTCTTTTCTAAACCCAGCAGAGACCCAGCAGGACCTTCAGCTGGAGGAGGAAGTTTGCTAGTACATGACGCTCCCAGGTCCTAGCACAACTCTGAACTTGGCAAGTGATGGCAACATTTGTAAAGTCAACTTCGTTTTGCCTCCATTGGAAAAAAGTGAGATATCCACTGCCTCACAACACATCTGAAAAAATCAGGGAATAGTAGAATTGGAAGGAGCAATAAGGCCATTGGGTTCAACCCCCTGCTCAATGCAGGCCTCCAAGTTAAAGTATCCCTAACAGATGGCTGTCCAGTTACATCCGGAATATCTCCAGTGTGGCACATCCTCAATAATTGGTTCCATTCTTGTATTGCTCTAATACTCAAGAAGTTTCTTCAATGTTTAGCTAGAATCTGACTTCCTCTAATTTGAGCCCATTATTTCATGTCCTGCACTCTCAGAAATTCTGGCCCTCTCTCGTGTGACAATCGTTCAAGTATTTGATGTGTGCTCATATCTCACCTCTTCTCAAGGCTAAACATGCCTAATTCTTTCAGTTTCTCCATATAGGCCTTGTTTCCTGTTCCCGGATCATCTTTCTTGCCTTCCTCTGAACCTTTTCCAGTTTGTCAGCATCTTTTTTGAACTTTGCTGCCCAGAACTGGACACGATATGCAAGATGAGGCCTAACCAGCACTGAGCAGAGGAGAACTAGTACTTCATGTGATTTGGAAGTGATTCATCTATTAATGCAGCCCAAAATAGTGTTTCTTTTTTTTTTTTTTTTTTTTTTTGCAGTCACATCATTCTGTTGACTCATATCTGCAATAATTCCAAGACTGCTCTCTCTTGTAGTCTTGTTAAGTCAAGTGCCGCCCACCTTCTAACTATGCTTTTGGTTTCTTTTTCTTAGGTGCAGGAATTGGCATTTGTCCCTGTATAGGCCACATTGATCTCAAGAAAGAAAACAAACATTGGACAAACCTTGAAGGTTTCCACCACTGCAGAGTCTTTTTCATCCATAGTGTCTTCTCCCTTTTATGATCCTACCTTATTGATTCTATTGCAAAGGCTAATCTTTTTCCTGTCTTCCCTGAAGGTTAGCAGTCAAGTCCTACTTGTATACAAGTATATGCTACAAGAAAAGAAAAGCCAAGGTCCCCCCCAACTCACCTTTGACCGCCACTGCTAAACTCTGTGGCCAAACTCCTGTTAGCTCTCCCTGTTCACACACTCTCTCAGTGTTTGCATAACTGTACAGGCCCTGTACCAGTTCAGCCAGCTGCTTCTGTTCTGCTCAGCAACGTGTTTCAATATGCTGTTGCATCGAACAGACACCAACCCCTGTTATCTTTATGCAGTTTTTCAGTAGCAGCCTTAAACATTCAAAGCCATCACTATTTCCCCTTATTTCGTATTTATAAAGCAAAAATATTTCAAAGCATTTCCAATTCTACACTTATATCCAAGCACTGGAAATTCATATTATTTTACTTTTTTCTGTTGCGCTTTCCAGTTATCATAAAGCAAAAGCACCTTATTGCTGTCATGGCTAACACAGTTTCCTGCTTTGATAATACAAGTTGGTAGCAAAAATATATTGGACAACACATTCACAACAAGATGGATGTGGCCTGTGGGTCCTTAATGAGAGAATTTTCCATAAATCTATTTAAGTCACCAGGGGGAGGGGGAGAGACAGACAGACAGACAAATACCAATGTTTTGGGAAAAGCCAGCCAGGAGGAAAAGGCAACAAGAATGCAACTGTGAACTTACTCTCTGATCTCATCAATGACCTTCTGCTTCTCCTCGATCTCATCTCGCAGTCTAGACAGCTGTTTCTGGTGCACTTCCCTGTGACTCTCCATTTGCTGTTCCAGCGTCTTCTGTTCAGAGAAAAAGCAGATAAATAAATTATACGGGTTTACTTTTTGATCATCCCTCATACTTGCACTTATATTTTGATCATTGTTCATGTGGTCACTTATCATACCTTCTTACAGAAAGTATTTCCAATGTAGCTCAAAATTTCAGAGATTACTGTGGGAGCCCTTTACCTTTTAAAACTAACACAATAACAAGCCTATTGCTTCTGTTTTATTTAGAGGGAATTCCCATCAGCTTGAGTGAACAGACAGAGCTTGGGCTAGCCAGTGTGGCTCTTATGGGTCAAAGTGCCTCTTAGGAGCACAGGCGGGTATCAAATTCCAACAGTCCTGTGTAATCAAGAGCTAGTCTTGGCCTGTGTAAGGAGAAGAGTTGTGGAGGTGAGTAAGGAGAGACCATTCACGGTAGCTTCTGTGAGCCTCTGCCAGGCTATAAGAATTCACAGCATCACACCTGAAGTGTAAAAGATAAAACCTGGTTCATGGTATAATGAATGTTCAGATGCTGCACAAAATCCAGATTTTTTTTTCCTTGCCTTCAGGAATATCATACTTTTCCAGCACTCCAACTTTATAGCACAAATGTCATGGGCACCTGTTAAGACTCACCAGCCCATTCCACCCACCTGTCACAAAGATACCATGTCACTTAAAGATTGTGGCTGTGCTTTTTGACTGTATGCTACATCTCCACAAGAGTATACATTCAGCCTCTTGAACAGCATCTCAGGTGCATTTGTGTATATTTACATTTACTTGCTGGTTGTATGCCTTTTCTGAGCACTGACTCCCATATCCAGGTATAACAACAAAGATAACTTCAGCATAGCTCTCTCTTGTACCCTTATGCTGCAAAGCTACCTGTCCTATCATGTAAACATGAAATATTGTGCATTTGCTACTGAATTAGGACTAATATGGAATACAAGGTTGTTATTTTTACATATACATGTGTGTTGGAGGAGGCCTAATATTACCTTCATTTCCTCTGCATCCTGCAGCAAGGTCAGATGTTCCTTCTCTTTATCTTTGTAACTGACTTCATGCATCTTTTCTGTTCATAGAAAAAATGAGAAACTCCTGTTAAATGCGATATGGTTTAACAAGTCATTCAAATTCCCCAACAGTCTTCCTCTGAAAACCAAAGAAATTTGGTTTAGGTCTCACTATTAACATGGGCTTATCTTGGATTGAACTCTCTTTGCCCAGGGTTCAATCTTTCAAATTCAAATACTTTTCAGTACCCTGAAGTCCACATTACTCTGCCAGCTTTGCAGGTACACATAGCCATGTACAAACCTGTGTAATTTTCTTACTCTTCAGCCATAGTGATGGCTTACTCTTCTTCATAAGCATTTAAATCTCAGAAGCCCTTCCACCCAAAATGGGCCATTGCCTGATTTCACCAGAGCAAACAACAAGCTCTTACAATTAACCAGTGTGAAATACTATGGGATAGTATTTCTTCTAGGAACAATGAAGGTGACTAGGAGAAAGCAATCACAAGACAAAAGCCTCACGCAAATTCAACATCCACTGAAAAATATAAAACGCAAATGCACTATTTCCAACTCAGAACAAAGTGTAAAACCCTCAGACCTAGAAAATATAGTACACTGGAGTGATGTCTGGCTAAATTGATGACATGATTGTCGATCCTTACTGCTTCCTAATTTTCAGCTTTTAAAATACTTACCTGCATTTTGTTTTTTATTTTTCACTAGAATGTTTGTACTATTATTTTTTTTATTTTTGCAACTGTAAAAATAAAATAAAATAAAAAATAAAAATTTTTTTATTTTTGCCTGTAGCCTGTGAGGATTTGCATACTCAGGAGCAATAAGGAGTGTAGGGAGTATTTGACCACAGATGTTTCCAAACCTAAGAAAAGCATTGCGCCTCACCTAACACACCTCCTGCCATCTAAGATGGAGGCAGAAGGAGAAAACTCATTAATCTGCTGAAAAAAGTCAGAAGAGTTATCAAAACAATTCCAAGATGATGGAACAGCTCTAAGTTAAATTACTGAAAGGATCTGTGGATTCTATTGGCAGTCGTGTTAAAATGTGGAAACAATCTTGGAAGACAGATTGTTGCACATGAGTTAATCTCCTATGATACAACCACTCTGTATTTTATACTTTTAGAACCTTTGACAGAGCAAGCAGCCCCTGGAGGTAAGGCTAACTTTAGGGGTTCCATGGGAAATGTTAAAATTACAAGATGGTTTTCATCTTGACATTAAATATGCTTATTGAATTGCTGATCCTACTTGGAGAGTGAAAGCACGACCTGTTGTGATCAGGTTTCTTCATGTATCAGCTACAGAATACCTCCTCCTTGTAGCCAGGTAGAAAAGGAAGCTCTATTGAGGTCCAGAAAACAACAACAAAAACATGCTTTATCCAGATTATACAAAAGAAATTATCTGAACAAAGGTGACAATTGGTCAGAGAGTAAAGAATGGCTGCAGTTACTTACCAAGCCAAAATTCTACTCATATTGTCAAGTAAATGTTTTTTTGGTGGTCAGTCTGGATCAATTTGTCATTTCTGATGATAATTTCCTGACATGTTTTGTTTGAGTGCTAAATCTTAGTTACGCTATAGCTGCATAGCAATATATGCAATATACACATGACAATATACATCTGTTGGAATCTAAGCTTGGTGTTGCTGCTTTTACAGCTTCAGGAACACCTGTATATATGAAATATTGACTGAGGCTGAAGAGCTACATCACCCCCCCATTTATGTGTAAAAATATCTAATATTGATGAATAAATGTGATACACAGGGTATCAAGCATGAACAGAATAATGAAAAGGAGCACCCAGTTGGCCCAGTCAACACAATACTTCATTGTTCTCTATTTTGGAAGAGGTAACAGATCTTGGGTTACATTTAATTCAACAGGCTGATGTTTCTGGAGTACCAGACAATTAAATTATATAACTGTTGGAGGTGTAATATCACTGAAGCATCTTTTTTTAATGTTTTGGCAATGTCAGTGGTAACTTCCTTTTGTGAGGAGGAAATAATTCAAATAAATTATGTGATGGTTAAGAGAACAGTATTTCACTTTACAAATTGATATTCTTTAATATTCAGTGATGGGTAAAAGATTTAATGAAGCTTCCAAATTTTGAATAGGTCATCTTCATGCATAATTTAGATATGGAAATTCATTTAGAAATGAATAAATATAAGGATATTTGGACTGCCTTTTTAAAAGTTTATGCATAATTCTGCTTAACAATAGTAGTATGTTTTGCTATATACAAATGCGTAAGACATATATGTGATTAGTGTGATGGATTTTTAAAAATCTTATCAAAGAAGAACCTGTAATATCTTCATTTGTTTTTTATTACCTTTCTCTTTCTCTTTCTCTACAGTGCGTGGTTTAGGCTTTTCTTTGTAACCCACATCAAACAAATAAGAAAATACACTACCTTGAGCATGCAGTTTGGCTAGCTCTTCATTAAGTGAATCCTGAGACTCCTCCAGTTGCCTTCGCTTCTGCTCCATGTTCTGCATGTACTCTGTGAGAGACTTGATTTTTGCTTCATGCTTTGAAAGAAAGAAATCGGACAAGGGGAAATGTCTAATGTACAAAGAAAAGACAGGAGGAAATGGACTGAGGAAAACAAGAGAACCTCCCACCCCAATAACCTGGGAAATGAGGAGCTGACAGGCAGCCAGTTCCCTCTCGCTGGCATTTATCTTCCTATTGGAGTCTGTCTGGGCACTCTCCAGCTGCTTGCTGCGGTTCACCAGGGATTTCACCTCAGACTTCATCTTGCTGATGTAGAGCCGAGCCATGGTGAACTCCTCCTCAATCACACCATTCACGTCAGCCAACTGAACACACAAAACCATCGCTGGTAAACTTTTATTTATTTATTAAAACATTTTTATGCCGCCCCATTCGCCGAAGCCTCGGGGCGGCTTACAACAATAAGTTAGGTCATCATAAGTAAAAATTAAAATATATACATTCAAATAAAATACAACTATACAATATAAAATGGCCTGGCCAGATAAAATTTTGCTGTGCAAGCTTCATTTGTTACCACCACAACAGCCATGCTCGCATCGGATAGAGAAACCAGCCTGATTTACTTTATTCTTTGACACTGGATTCTCTGACTCTGAAGTTATCTATCTGCATCCCCAAGAAACTTCCACACTCGGTTTTAGAGGCTATTATCATTTTTGGTCTGCCAGACATTATTTATAAAGGGTTAGTATCCAACGTTAAACCACTGAGCCGTGGCTGTTGAATTGGAAGTTCAAATTGGAAGTTCAAATCCGCACAACAGGGTGAGTACCTGCTGCTTTGTCCCAGCTCTTGCCTACCTAGCAATTCCAAAGCATGCAAATGCAAGTAGATAAATAAGTACCACTTGGGTGGGAAAGGTACCAGCATTCTGTGTGCCTCAGTGTTTAGTCATGCTGGTCACATGACCATGGAAGCATCTTTGGACAATGCTCTCTCTTCGGCTTACAAAGATGAGCACTGGCCCCAGAGTCAGACATGACTAGCATGTATGTGCAGGGGAACTTTTACCTTTATCTTTTTATCCAATGTTAGCCTTCCACAGAGTAGGCTATTGAACTGACTTAGTTCTTCCATTTAATGGTTATGTTACTATGAGCAGCAGAGCTTTTGCATGTGCAAGTAAATGCTCAGTGGGGTGTAGGTTTTGGATACTGCCTACACTGGTCTGAATAAAACGAGTAACCATTTATTTGTCATAGTGGCTATGGCATATTTGAAAGCAGGGGTCCTCAAACTTTTTCGATAGGGGGCCAGTTGAAAGGTGGCAGCTACATGCGTGGGCCGGTGAGGTGGGGGTGCCTGGGGGCACAGGCCAGTGAGGTGCCATCGGGCGCGCGCGAGGCGGCATCAGGCACGTGCGGTGGTGGCTTGCTCGCTTGGAGACCATCTCTGAGCAAGCAAGCCACCACCTCCCTGCCTGCGCAGCCAGCGCGCGCACGGGCGGCGAATGGCAGCACGGGCCGGATGGATGGCCATGGCAGGCCAGATCCGTCCCACGGGCTGTAGTTTGAGGACCCATGTTCTAAAGTAAGGGAAAGGCTTTTTGCATCCCAGGGAATCCAGCTGCAAGACTGCTTAACGCTGTCAGATGCTGCAATGGAAAAATGTGTCTTAAATACAACTGCTCAGTCTTAACTGGTTTTCAAAGACAGGCAGCCCATGTGTATACTGAAATGTTTTTCTCTTAACCACGTTATAATTCACCTTAAAAAAGGCAACATACCGTTTTAACATCATTGGTACCAATGATTCCACCAATCTCTCCCAAATCCTTAAGCAGTAAATTCAGGATTTCAGTAGCTCTCTTCTTCTGATGGTTACTAAGTTCTTGCAATTGTCCCAACTCTCTCTGGGTAGTTGTCAAGGCAGTCTAAAAAATAATTTACAGATAACATTACAAGCTTAACCACTGATCTGAACTAAGATGAATAGCAGCCAGGAAACATTTCACATATTTGCCTTGATTGTATTTGCTGAGGTCATGCTGTTGTTCCCTGCACTGAATGTGTGAATGGGTTCCTCAGGAGCCATGGATCTGAACCAGGGAGCATGAGCCAATCTGTATACATAATCTGAGCTGACCACCACACTTCTCTGATGGTCATACAATAGAGTAATTCAGAAAACGTGCAATAATTCTGCTTTCTATTTCTGTACATAATAAGCTGATTTTTTTGTTAAATTGATCTTAATGTTGCCCTTAATTTTGCCAGTCCTCACAGTGCTTCTTCAGAGCTGAGGAACATGCGAATAAGCTCATTTCCACAACTGTACCAGGAAGACATCCAACATCATCTGGGAGCTCACAGGATTCTTCAGAGTCCCAGCTCCAAGGTTCTATGAGCCCTGAGCTGGGAGCCCACAGGAAAAGGCCATGCATTGCTCCTTTGCAGCTGGCCTGGCAAGAACCAGGCCCGCTGCTCACCCCTTCTCCCCAGGTCCCCACCAGCTACTTGGACATGAAAAGCAGAAATGTGCTGAACCAGGGAAGAGACTTTGGTCAGTCAGCACCCCATACTAAGGGCATGTGCTGTGAGGGTGAAAGATTACACCCTAAGTTTTCCTATTCCTCTGCCTATTCTGTTCCTGCTTACTTTTTTCATTTACACAAAGAAACAGCTGTTCAGTGCACTGTGATTCACATAATATTGTCTCTCTATATCTGTTGAGGCACAATGTACTTCAACAAATAGAACTTAAAAACCAACACACTATTTCCATATTCTAAGCCTAAAAACTATTTTGTAACTTTTCCTATATCTAACATCTAGTAGCCTGGTAAAAATAACTTCTTTATTACTATAATTACGCTTCTATCATTCCAATTTATTTGAATGCTTCTGACATTTAAAAAGGCTCATTCGGTAGGCATTCAAGGCAGAAGGGCACAAATTGATGCAGAGAAAAACATGCAGGCAAACATGTGCATGCACAGATAAACACATGAAGAACCACAGGGAATGTTCATACAGTTTTCTGTGAAAGTTCCTCAGCCAGCTGTTCATTAGTTCTCATCTTGTCCTCCACTTCTTGTGACTTCTGGTCATAATTAACAGCCAGCTCTTCCAAAGCCTGAAGAACTTCTTTTACTTCCTCTTTTGCAGCTTCATTTTCAATCTGAAGGCGAGTGAGTTCCTCTTGAATCTTCTCATAATCCCTTCTAGTAGAGGCCAGGAGCTATGCAGAGATGGAGACAGTAAGATTCCACAACACTTAAGTTAAAAGAAACATCTAGAGGAAATTGCCAATGGCACCAGCAAATAGCAAGCAAGCCATTGAAGACAGTGGCGTCAAAATGGGTCCAATGTTGCACAGACTTTCAATGAAGCTGGGTAAAAGAGAAGCAGGGCTTGTTAATTGACTCCCACAAAAATGTCTTCTGTCTCAGTTTCTTTGGAGTATTTCATGCATTTTAGTGTACAATCCTATGCATGTTTAGACAGAAAAACGTTATACAACTCCCAGCATTCTCTAGTCAGCATGAACAGGATCACAACCCTAATAAGCTAACTGCAACCAGCTGCATATAAAATTCTAGTACATTTCATGATACTCCTCATTAAAATGTCTAGCAAGGATGAATGGTATTCATAAAATACATTGGCAAATCAAGATAAATACATCTTCTGAAACAAAGGTAAGTTAAAGGTAGGGTGCACACGGGTACTAGCCTATCTCCAGACACATTTCTTGATGCCCATCGAGATGCCCATTATACTTTTTAAAAGTAATGCATTTTGTTACCATTAGCTGCAATTGTTGTGAAATAGGCTCCTGCTAGTGCTCTTTTACTCTGCCTCCATTTACAGACATCCTGTAGTGCTGCCCAGGACAATTCTTAAATTACTAAATAGATCTACTCATGCTCCAGAAAGGTTGTCTACCCTGATCTAAGAAATATTAGCAAAGGACACAGACTTGTAAAGCATTAAACCATTGGACTATCTAGCCTGGTATTCTGTAGCTTTCCAGAATCTTACATGGAATCTTTTCCCACCCTACTTTGTAGGGGAAACTTTTTTTTTCTTATAAACTTTACATTTCATCTCTTTCCTGCTAAACCAGTGTTCTCACCCCAATTAGATATGATGCAGTTACATCTAAAAGATTAGAGAAATTTGTAAAAATCTATTTTTGCGCATAATTAAAATCTGTTACTTCATTTCTATACCACTCAATAGTGAAAGCTCTCTGGGCTTGTTCCCCTTTTCCTTCCTCGTTGGTTTTTTGTGATCTCCAAAGTAACAGTCAGTGATAGCTCCTAAAAGGTCTCAAGCAGCACACTGGAGTGTCTCTCACTAGTTTGCTACCTTTTTTATCTTTTTGTTCCCCAAATTTGCACAAACTTTCTGTATTTTATAGAAAAGGGGGAAGAATTCTATTTATTGTAAATGCATGCTTTAAAAAAGTCTGCAGCTGAGCCGCCCTGAGGCTTTGCTGCAATGGGGGCGGCACAGAAATGTTATAAATAATAATGGTAATAATGATGATGATGATGATGATGATGATGATGATAATAATCAGAACAGAACAAAAGTGATCGGGATACAACTGAGTACACTGTCTTTCTACATATACACAGAAGTATGGAACATAATTTAGCACAACCTTCCTTAACCTGTTGTTTTCTGGATACTCTGGACTACAATGCAGAGCCTGGGAACTGCAGTCCAATACATCTGGAGGGCACCTTGTTGGGGAAGGCTGGTTTAGCAAATTGAGTATGGAGGAAGGCAGATTTTACATATGGTATATTATAGTCACAGCAAACAGTTATGTGGCACACAAAAAGTAAACCAGTGGCAATGGAATGTAAAAGATATTAGAACAGCATGCTTCCTCTTTTAACACTTATGTTAGCAGTGAATCTGCTAAGCTTAATCAGCCAGAAATAACTGCTCTGACTAATTAAGGAAAATCATGGTTCAGGCAGGCAATCTGCAGCCTATGCATCAGTGAGTAGATCACAAACAGTCACAAAGAATACTTGAGATGCTGTATACTTGAGAAACAAGTTTTTTAGGAATGATTCCAAAGGAAAGAATGAACTTCTTCTGATAAAATTCTCTATAGCTAACACTCCTAAAGGGCTATTTTGGGAAGCAATGGAGGAGTGGGGCATAGTGCATCAATTCCACCCCCTGCAGGAGGATGCTGGCAAGCTGTGTTACCACAGGTGCCAAAAAACAGCCCTGCACCTTTTCTCCCTCCCTCTGGGCTAGTGGAACAAGTACTATAGTTAGCATTTCTCAGGGGGATGCCATGTTGCCATGTGAGTTACTGAGCCCTGTTTTAAACCTAGCAGTATTGCATCTGTATGAATAATGGTTTTAATACATCAGCAAAGACTGTTCAAAGGTTGCTAGATCTATATTATAGATTTACGCTTCCTGTTTTACAATCTAAACAATGATTATGACACAGCGATGCCACTGGCTTTAAAGCAAGGGTCAGGACATTAGGATGGGGAAGACAGGAACGATCTGCTTTGCTGTAGCAGAATACGTGTACGAAAACACAGTTGTCCTGCAAAATGTTAAGCTCAGAGAGCACACTAAAATGCTCGTTTTCATTTTAAGAAAATACTTTTCAGAAAAAATGCATCCAAAATATGTATTCTATAAGATAGTATGTTCAAAACTTATTTCAAATTGTCAATCAGGCTTTTAAAATAAATCAATCCATAAATAAGATGGAGATATAAACACAAGCGAAACTTATACAAATTAGAAATAGACTGATTCATTCAACCCCAGTTGTTGTTACCACTAAGAATAAATTATTTGAGCTACTATTTACCTCATCTTGATCCAACATCTGTTGCTTTAGTTTCTCAGCCAACTGACTCTGTTGATTAATTTCATCATCCTGCAATAGATAAAAAGTTGCATTTTTGTTTCTACTTTTTTATTTTGAGACTAACAAAAAATGGTGTCACAATACTCTATCTGATTTTAAATGCTGGGGAAATAGAGCAAGAAAATAAATCATTAGACATTTATATAATCTGCAGAGTAGAAAGTTGTTCTGATCATTATCCATGAAATATATCAGTCTTAGTAGGCACAAACTCCAAGAGCTATAAATCAATCTTATCTTGTTCCTAATTTAATGAATACAAGATGAGCTGCATGTCATGTCATGTGAGCTAATGTCATACTCTGTGTGTGTGTGTGTAACAAAGCACAAAAAACATAAATGACTTCATCCTGCTTTGATCAGTTCACCTGCAAGATGCTGATGGTAAGCAGGATTTGAAATTGGCAGCAACTTCTCATAACAGCTCAATTCTACCTCCTTTCCTTACAAAAATGTGTCTGTGTGTATTTTACACATGCATACAAGAATGCTAGAAAGCTGCGAGAAAAAAATCCCTTATGTTCTTCAAGGGAGAATTCACATATACCTGAACATTTATGCCAAATCAAACCAAACATGTGGCCAGATGTTCAATGCATTATATAATCACAACTTTGTGCGTCTTTATGATAGAATACTTATTTATTATGGTGTTCAAGGAAATTATTGTGCATCAAGAGAAAGTTGATGCACAGTTGTATTAGCATTTCAGATGCGAAGATGATCACGTATGTGGCAAAAACCATCCTCTCCCCAGTGCGAAGGCAACTCAAAGGCAGTTTTCACCAAGGCAAATACTTCTATTCCAATTGCGCCACATTAGTGTGCACTATGAGACACATGGTAACTTGTTCTTTCTCATGGCAGGGGAGGAGAGAACCATTGGAGCATGAGGAAGGCTAGGCTCATGCCCTGTGGAGTAACATTTATTGTATTATATTAATGGGTGGAATTGCACTGAGGAACATACAGAGAACAGCCACCTGCATCTGAAGCGGCATAGCCTGACACAGTTTCACACCTCACTCAGAGCAGGACCACAACTGAATCTGTGACCCAATAAAAAGTATATCTGTAATTAATCCAGATTTCCAATGCAAGCGGGATGCTTGTTACAGCCTCTATAACACAGAACTAGAGGCAATCTTCCAGGATTTATTGTAAAATTTATTGTAAAACAAAGAAGTTGCATCTATATTAGTGACCTGCTACTTCCTTCTTGCCTTTGAAGCAGAAGATTTTTGATAACCTAATAATACAGATCATCATGGCAATCTGCCGTTATCTGGAACAGGATAGTAAGGTATTCAGATAACAGTGAACTAAAATGCATGAGCTTCTAAAAGATGAGTTGTCTATTTTGTACAGTTTGGGGCATGTTGTTGAGTTTACCGATAAAGGCAACAGTCCTTGGGGATGATCCAAGTAGTTTCTAAAAAAGAATGAAAAAGAAATCATTACTAGACCTTATCGTCCAGCTGTCTATAGAGGCTAGTAATCTCTTCCTCATATTTTTGCTTTTCCTCAGCTGAGATACTGGCAGCAACAGGCACAATATTATCGATGATGGGTGTATTGTCACATGGCTCCAAGTTCTTTTGGTCTTTAGCACTGATCTGCTCATCCTCGGGAACAGCCTCTCCTGCAGATACAACAACTCAACAGCATGAGTGATAAAACAGAAAGATCCAAACCTCATTGTCCAAAGGGGTGGTGGACTCACTGTTAAATCTTCAATCTCCTTATGAAGGCTTAAGACTGATTTTTTTTCTTCTTTCAAGGTCACATATTTAGTAGTCTTTCAGACACAACATTCCCAGCCTGCTATGACTTAATTATCCAGAGATACTTCTCATGTACCCCTCTACTTCCTCTCGAAACTAGCTCTCTACACACAACTCAAGAGGTAAGGGGGAAAGGGTAATTTCAAAGGAAAGGTAACATTTTTAGACTTGCACAAAATAACTGCAGTAGCCAGCTTACCCAGCCATGATTAATTGGTAACGATCAGTACCAGAGCAACTATCTTCAAGGTAAAAAAGAGGACATTTTTTACCTCCCAAATTCTGATATTGTGCCTAGTGCTAAATCACAGGCATATGTAAGGATGAAATGTTGCTACAGTAATGAGTGTAATTAACCTTTTAGGCTGCTAACTCCATGAATAGCTCTAGACACAGGACTCAACACAATTTAAGTGACCTGTAATTATCTATTATGATATATATTTTTGGTATTTTTAAAAGGTATTGATATAAAAATGCTCCTTCACAAACCTCAGTGGCAATTCATAATTAAAACTAAAACTCTTGCCAAGAATCTGAAAGAGGGAAAATACTTTTCAGTCACATTAGCTCACTGAAGTTTGACTGGATCACCACCCACCCAATTACCTAACTTTCCTCTCATCCAGAGTGCACAGTGGTAATTATCTTTATGTCACCCTTAGCAGCATAACTGCTGTTCCCCATATAATAAAGTTTAATCTAAAAAAATATGAGTTGAAAATGTGGCAGGCAGCAGCCTCAGAAGACAGTGCTAATGAATGGATTAATTCCAAACGCTGAACTCTCCACCTTAGAACGAACCTTTGCAGAAAGAAAATGAGAACACTCATTTTCAAAATGTAAGAAAAGTTTTGATAAAGTTCAGAATAATTCACAGAGAAAGCATGCAAAGAATTGGATTCACACTTTCTCACAGGAGATGCCTGACAGGTCTGATACTCACACATCAAATGTAATGCTTAAACAGGGAAAAGCATAGGGCTGATCTGTGTAGGATAACCCACAGATTTGGTGAGATGAGTGCAGAGGGGCAATCTCACTTCCTTGTCCCTCATGGCACTACCAGGTTACAGATCTTCATGAATCAGCTATAGATGCAAATCTTTCAGGCTGAGTATTAGTACCATAGACATTAAGAGAGTCAGGTAAAGAGCTATCTGCCCCATCTGACTCTCAAGCTACAGGATGAGAGGTCCTTTTGCAGCTCTCTTCGTTTTCCTGCATGCGAAGTTTTCTTACACATAAAAAACTTTTTACAGTGTGCCAAGTTAACTGAAATACCTGATGTATACTCAAAATTTCTTTTTCAGAATGTAACTTCCAGTCACTACTGGAGACACACTAGAGAAGAATGCCATTTCTGTACAGCTGAATTAAGCAAATAATTAATTCTGTTTTACAGCACTGGAAAAGTTGAAAAGTAATATCTCTATGCCACAGTATGTGTTTAGGACAGAACCCTTTTAAAAAAGAAATAAGGGAATTGGGTTTAATTATCTTGGGCTGCCACTGAATAAAGAAACAACTGCTTGGGATTTCCATATGGCTCTTGCCAGAAATTAAGTATTAAAATGACTGTGTGTGTATGTATGTGTAAATACTCACAAATCATATCCTTTGCCCTACAAGTTCTTCCTTTCTATGTAGGGACTGGTGGTTTGTGATCATTACTCAGCAGTGAGGTAAAAGTCCTCTGTTTATGCTTGAAAAGAATTTCACCTGGCCAAATTAAGTGCTAGCTGGTTTCTATAGTGTCTAGTATCAAAACAACATAACAAGCACCCATGAACTATCAGATATGACACCTAAATTCCTTGATGTGTGTCTGAGTGAGTGTATTATATTCCTAAGAGGATAAAACCCTCTCAAGAGACATTCCTTGCCTATCACATGGTAATTTTAACCAGGAATCTCCAAGGCCAGTCCCATAAACTTTTTCCAATGCCAGAGTGCAGCCCTGGGACAAATAAAAGAATCCCCTCCAATGTTTACATTTCTGGATTTGGGAGACATTTATTTACATTAATTAAATCTTGTACCTTCAACAATCACCATGTGTTGCTAGAGTGAATAACAAGGTCATATAAAATGCAAACATCATCACATTAAAATCATGCAAAATATGCTTTGGGCAGATGTTTTGACTTCAAACAGGCCTGAGCCCTGGTAGCTCTCATTTTAGAAGCGAACCACTTATTTCTTTTGTATCATTACTCTCTAGACCCAACAGCTTCCTTGCCAGAGAAAACCACATGATGAGAATATTTCAAGATCAAACTTTTTAAAATAAAAAATACCAAGACGACACATGGCCAAGATCAATGTTGAGTCCTACAAATCAATTAAAACATGAGCTCCCTATAATCATGATAATTTTGGCCTAACCTATGTACAAACACAAAAATAAAGGGATTCTTCATTGTCACAGCATTTTGTCTAATCAGTAAACTGCATTATAATTTATTTGGGACAGAACTGCTATTATTTGGCTAACTTCCTTTTTAATTTAAGACCTCAACAGCTGCCTAGTAATTAACAACCATTTGTTATTTCTCACCATTTCTCCACCTGTTCAATTCCATTTCCAGATGCTGGATAACATTCTTTAGTGTCTTATTTTTTTCCTTCTCCTTCTCATATTTTTTCTTCCATTCTTCAGCAGTTAGCTCAAGATTCACAGAGACTGTATTTTTAATAGTCTTGGCTCTGTACAAGGAAAAAAAACAAGCAAGCAATAACTGGATGTCCTCAATCTTGGCTATTAAACTCTGTTTAATAGGCAAGTATTCAAACATCAACTAAGGTTGTGTCCTCAGTATAACTTAGTTAATTGTTTTCAGTAATTACTGCAGCAACTGTTCTTTCCACTGTTATTTGATATAATCCCCTAATTAGTCTTCCCATAAACTTTAGCTAACACTGAATCATCATGCACTAATTACTCCTGTTACTTTCTTCCCACAGGCAGAGAAGAACGAAGGTGTACAAGGGCAAACAGGGAGGTTGGCAATGGGAAGGAAATGGTGGACATGTAATCAAGTTCTAGAGGAAAACCTGTTCTCTGGAAGCTGGAAGTTCTTCTCAAGATACTATTTAGTTTTTAAAACAGCAGCATGTTTATTTATAAAATCTTTTACCACCTTTTAGAACAATTTTATTTACTTACATCATTTATAAACTTATTCTAAATCTAAAAAGATCTCTGAGTGGTAAATGGTTAAAAAAGCAATAAAAATCAATAGTCTCCAAAGCAGGGTATAACACCATCACATCATCTTAAAAGACCATCAATGTCACAGGGGAGAACACATATAGATAAACAACAGTGTACAAGATGTGGCAAGAGAGATTCAGTCGAAAGCCTCAGTGAACAAATAGTTCTTTAACTGGCACTGAAAGCTTGTACGACTCATCGCTGACTGTATAGGATGGGAGTGGGAGACCTACAGTCACGTTTCCTGTATCAAGAATGTCTTCTCAGGTGGTTGTACGTCAAATCCCTGGAGAATGCACTAGATCTCCAGGCTACCCTTAAAGATAGCTCTGCATGGTATACATTTCAATAGCCTAATCTTGAAGTTGCCAGCATATATGCATAACTGTTGACACATTTTCAGACTAGGTTCCTTTCCTGGTCTTGAAGACTGGAACCATAATTAAACACAAGCATTTTTCTCAAGCCTATTTCCACTATAAATTCTATGCCTGGACAGCAAACTTTTAGGTTCTCACACACATTTATTTATTAGATTCATATTTCACCTTCTCCTTTTTCCAAAGAACTCAAATGGCTTACATCATTTTCCTCATGCTGCTCTCAGTCCCCCCGCCCCCCTCCGCTCCACAACAACCACTCTGTGAAGGAGGTTGGGCCAAGAGTCTGTGACTGGCCCAAAGTCACCCAGCTGGCTCCATGTCTGAGTGGAGACTAGAACCCAGATTGCCTGAGTCCCCGACCTGCATTCTTAACCACTACACCACACTGGCACTACACACAAAACCTTATGAAACCTTGGAAATTGGCAGATAAATAAAATTTGTCATGATAAATATTTGGACAATTCCAGAAAATGGTAGGCATGTCATGAGTGGAGCTGGCTGGAGCTGGGGGTCAGATTAGATGACCTGGGAGGCGCCTTCTGACTCACTCTATTTCTATGTGTCAATGTTTCTAAAATAAATAAATAAAAATATGCAAGACCATGCATTGACTTCTTTTTTGCTCTTAGGTATAAACTCATTGTGAAAGCAAGATTCAAATTGAAAAAGAGTGTTGAATCCATGTATTTTGCAAATGTAGCTTAGCACCCAGAACTGAGGGGTGAAATATACTCTTCCTTCTTAAATTAGGAAAGCTTAGCAACTGGGAAGCTAAGTTATTATTAAATAATAAAAACACAAAGCACATTTGGCTAGGCTCAGGAACTGCAACAGAGATTGTTTTGTGTGCTTCTGTTCCAAGAGAATTTTCTTCAAGGTCCCCAAGGGAAAAAGGATTCTCTGCTCACAGCAATATATTCTACTCTCCTTTACAGTGAACTAACAAGTCAGTTTCTCTGCACTGAGGGATGCAAGAAAACTCACTTAAAAATAGAAAGCCCAAAGACTCCATCCAAATCTCCATCCAAAAAAGCAATACAATTAAATTATGTGATCAGAGTTTGAGACCTGATTGATGCTTATCTTATTACCTTCTCTATCATAAAGTTCCAGTCCTATAAATATTTATTGGGCATTGCAAATCTGGGTATTTAGTTTATTTTTCTAGTCTTGTTTGTTTTACCCCATTTTCACATCTGCACAACATTCCATACTATTTTCTGCATATTTTGCCTAATGTACATATTGTTGCAAGAAATGTCCCCTAATATAATGCCTTTTTCTACCTCATTGTCACTATTTTGTATTCATTTTTATGGAACAGGGTGGGAATACTGGAAGAGAACTGTGTTTCAGTTGTGTACTTGTTCAGGAAGTGTGAATTGTACAGAATTGACATTTCTTTCCATTGCCTACCTGGGAGTAAATCTCCCGTATTCAATATGACTTACTTCTTTGTAGGCATAGATGGGATTACACTCTAAAAAATATATATCCCAACAGCTGCAAATGCCAAGTCTTTCCTTCTGAAAAAATGTCTGAATAATATCGTATTTCTTTTGCATTCTCCATACAGTGAGTTGATCCACATGATATATCATAAGTCTTCTTACCAGATAACCTACTTGTTCTTCCTTTCTTAGTTTCTATAGTCCATAGAATTCCTCTTTTCTTATTAGCCTTAGTTGGCACTTCTATCTTTACTAAGAGAAATTAGCAATTCTGTTTTGATTTCAGAATGAACTGTTTCTTTTACATTTAAAGAAACAAACTGCAGCATAGTGAGAATTAAACACAGCACGCAGTTGCTTCCAGTTGTATGCCTAATGTGTGTGCACACACAAAATTTCATCTCTCGGTTCACTATTTATGTTGCATGTACCACAGCCTTCATTAGCCAAGGCTATATCACACTGTGCTGATTCAGTCTGTTCCAGAACAAATTTGCCTTCCAAATGCAATCTTCATTTTTAATGATTAATACAAAATGTGCGGTGCAGTCAACAGATGAAAAAAACCGTGAATATGATGAAGCCTGTGCAGCCTGCAATCTATTCACCTGGCCAACAATCTAACCTATGTGATTTTTTGCAGTAATATTTATCATCTACCCCAGTAACATCAGTACCACTAAGCTTTCAGTAACACTACTGAAGTTTAACGTTCGTATCGGTTTAAGTATGTTCAGTTAAATTCATTTATATGATTTGCATATTTGTTGTGCAGCATAGTCACTGGAAGATCAAAAGCTACACCAGGTTTTGAACCAGCAAAGCACTGATGCATAAAATTAATCACAGAGTGAGTCTTTTTTGTTGTATATGCAATTTTATTCTTGAGCGCCTTCTCATAGAACTGTTGCAATATCACTGTTGTTGGCTGATAGAAGATCACAGTTCTAATGCCAGCCATGTTTTTCAATACAACCTTAATTGACTAGCCTTACTTCTGCCCAGAACTGTGCTTAGCGTATATTAAAATTCTCCTCACAATCCTCCTGAATGTGTGCTCCTCATTACAGTCCTACTGAAGGAATGTAACATGAATTTAAATAGCAATATGTTATTAAAGTCCTCTACATTTTAATTCAGTAAATACCACTAAATTAAGAAGGACTTACTCCTATGTAAGTGGGTATAGGATTGCAGCTTTAAGTAGTTCTGTTGTAAACGGTTCAGTGAAATTTGCCAGAAGTAAAATAACAAAATAAAATCAGTTTCACTGTATTCTTCAATACTTAGAGTGTGATACTTAGCACTCTACTCAGTCACTGCATCTGGGACCTTCCTCTGGTTTCCAACTCTGAGGGAGGATTGGAGAGTAGCAACAAGAGGAAGGGGCTTCTCAGTGGTGGCTCCCCTTCCATGTAATGACCTTGCTGCTGCAGCCTATCTGGTACCAACCCTGTCACCTTTTCAGTGCCTGGTTAGAAGACCATTTATGCTGAGGTGTTTAAAAATATGTTTTATGAACTGTTGTAAACCGTCCAGAGTGCTTTGGCTATTCAGCAATACAGAAATGAAATAAAGGTAATGATACATATAACCCACTGCATTTTTTTACTGAAGTTTTTATTTTCTGCAGTCTAAACATTTGTGCAGTTCAACTTGACTAAAATCAGCATTCACAAAATATAACAAAGACATAATCTGTTCAAGAAAGTATGTATACTCGCTTACCTTTGTCCAAACATTAGAGTAGATTTGGTTTCTGCTTCATTGAAAATGGATGGGGAACAACAGATTACAATTGTGGTTCTACAATTCCCACCTAAAGAGTCTTGGAGAATGCGGGTCATTTTGCTGTCTCGATATGGGACGTGCGTTTTCTGATTAAGAGATTCAAGACAGAATAAAAAAAGATTTTAAAGGTCACTTTTGATAAGCTAATTTTTAATTAATCCAAAATGTGCAAAATTAATTTTATAATACTAAGATGGTGTTTGGACATTTGGACCAAAGTGCAAGCCTTTTGGCTTTGGTCTGTCATTTAATATGTTGCTAAGTATATTGCTGTTATGTCAAGCTGTTGTAAACTTCCCAGAGAGCTTCAACTATGGGGCAGTATAGAGATGAAATAAAGGAGGAGTAGAAATGAAACTGAAAGCTTTTACAGTCAAAGGTATATATATCTTAGCAGCTGGCAAACAGGAAAAAATAGCATAGGAGTTATAAATACCAACCTTGTAGTAAAAGGTATTTTGTCCTAAAATGAGATCTCAACCTCATCACACATAGATGAAAACTCCAAAAATGAAAATCTCTGTAATGTAATTTAACAATACTAGCAACTAGCAGTAAATCTGCATCTTTAGCACAATTTTACATGATTGGACTCTTTGGTATTGACAGCTAAATTTACAATGATAGGATACAAGGATACAAAGAATATTGGATACAAAGAAGCTATAAGGCTATAATATTGTTGATTTTTCAACTTGATGGCTGGACCGGACTGCACTGCAAAAACTGGGCACTCCATAAGTGGCACTCTACACTGGGGATCCTAAAAGATTTATTATGGCAAAAACTTTCTTGAACTGGGGACCACTTCATGCAATTATTGAAGGGGGTTCTAGTACTCAAAAGCCACAAGGACAAGCACTGTTTGGGTAGTGCCTTCCTAAGCACCAACTCCCATTCCTTACATCAACTCTGCAATGCATTATCATCCCCATATTGTATGGCGTGCAGGGTCTGAATTAGGTCATTGAGCAAGTTTATGGCAAAGGTGAGATTCTATAAACAAGAACTTCCCAATTCATGGCTCAGTCCTTTTAAATTCTCTGGTGTCGTGTTTTGGTCTTTAAAGTACCACACTTTGTTTACACACATTGTGTCGTTCCCCCCCCCGCCCCCCGCACACACATAAAAAAGTTAATGGTCATAACAGTATCAATATTTAATGTATTATTGTAAAAAAAATGAATGTTTCAAAGGATCTATTTCCTAGGTGTCTTCTCCCCCCCCCTTTTTGTATTTTGGCTAAGAGAAACTAGATTGCTCCAGGTTTGTCCCCACTTTTATTACCTGCATGCATTGATAATTTGCTCAAAAGCCATTAAAGTTCAGTTCAAGCATCCAGACGGGTGGCTTCTTACATCACAACCATGGAAAGGCAACTTCACACAACAAGCCCTTTGGTTAGAGTGGTTCCTTGTGCTATTCTGCTGATTTCAACCACATCCACAGCACACATAAGCCTCCTTCTGTCACTCAGATTCTGAGGATACCTGCCACATTCTCAACACTATTTAGAAAGCTGGAAACATCAGCCTTGAAAATTGCATAGAGAGCCCCGCTGGGTAAAAGAGGCTCTTCCGTTGCCTTCCATGTATAGAGGGTGCCAAAAACAATATGGGAGGAGAGTGGGGCTAGTGCAACCCCCTGCATGGGGGTTTATACTAAGCCTGAAGAGGGCTATAAACATCTTGGTATGTAGCACATGCAACTATCCATCATGCCACTTACCACACTTGTGAATGGGACAAGATATACTTCCATCAAAAACAGGGTAATGTTGGTCAACATGAGAAGGGTGGGTGATCTGGCACCAATTATTTTTTTCTTCCAGTTTAAACTGAAGATACAAGCACAGTGGGAGATGGAAAACTGGGAAACGGGGTTGGGGGGGGGTGCAAGCCACTAAACAATTATCATTTAGAAGACTTTAAAAGAAAAGGGGGGAAAAGCAGATCCTTACCGTTCCTTCTGCCAATGCTGAGATGACATTGCCCAGAGCAGACAAAGACTTATTAATATTTTTAGCTTCATCAAGAACAGAGCCTTCTGCCCCAGTCTTGCTGACCTGCCAGACATAGCATACATTGGTCAAACCAAGCTGTGAGTACAAACTCTGAGGCACACCCACAAAGTATGTAAAACTAGTGAAAAATGTTAATTTGAAAGACATATCACTCCATCTTGTCCTGGACAGTAAAGCAAAATTTTCATGTCACTCAGAATACTCATATTAAATAGTAAATTTCTCATTTTAAAGTGTTACATAAAATGTTATTTATGTTTTCTATTTTCCCCCCTACATTTTCTAAATCCTGCATATTTATGGCCATTCTTCCCTTTTAGAAGTTTACTCCAGCTTGCATATGAACTCACCCATGCTTCTTATAAGGCCTCCTATGCTCAACCACAACAAATCACGTACTATTTATCCTTAAATCATTGTGTGCATATTAACAGGTCCTTATATACGGCAGTACTAAAAAGATCTTGAATGGAACAAGCTTGGAAGTCTTGAATAGAATGTGTCCAGTCATTCCAGAAAGGTTACTGACGGAGTAATCCTATTGCCCCTAGATAGCATATAAGGAACCATAGGATAGTGTGGATTCTCAGATCTGAGGTCAGAGTCTGCAACCTTGGAGGAGGGAATTAGAGCTCCAACACCCTCTACTTCATCTTTGCCGAAAGAACCATCCCAGCTGCATCCCAAGGTAAAGAAAGCAACCTCACAGAAGGAGAAAAGAGGCCTTTTTGGTAGAGAGGGAGAGAAGGAAACCAGCAAGGACAAATTAAGATTTATCCTGAGCCTCCTCCACTCTTCTTCTCTGGTCCTTGAAAGTGCCCTTGCTGGGTGGGCAAAAAGTCTCGGGAAAAGGCATGGCAGGTGAACTAGGTGAAGTTCAGCTCCATACTCCTCCCACTCTGCATGAGATGTTTGTAAGTCTCTGAATTTATGGACCCTAAGAGAACAATCCTATGGATGTTTAGACAGAAGAAAGTCCTACAACTGCAGCATTTGCCAGCTCTACTTTTCTGGTGCTGCTGCTGCTGCTGCTGCTGCTGCTGCTGCTGCTGCTGCTGCTGTTTCCCTTTCTCCTGAAGGTGGATCTGACAAATGTAAATGCACCTGCATATCTCTGTTTGGCAGCCAAAGTAGCTTTCAAGTTAGGATAGTTAGAAATTATTTTCCACAATACTAGGAAGCAGAAATGGTGCTGGTTTTATCAAAGGAAATCTTTTTAACTGCAGAACCACTGAAAATGATCCCTTTCAAATTTAATATGCATTTTATTACACCAAGTTATGCATTCTAAGAACTACTATCACTATGCACCACTGACAAATCAATAGTTTTGGGTAGAGCAGTAACACTTTTTTTTACCTTTTCACTTCCAGCCAAATCAACCAGATAAAGCTTTCCACTGAGTTTTTTTTCAGTTTCAACATTCTCTTGTTTGATATTTATTAGGAAGATACTATGACTTCGAGAACTGTGTTCATTCATATCTACGAGGAAAACATATAGTATCATAATCGTGTTACATAACGTATTATTACAAATATCTACATTCCAAAAATTGACTTTCACTATCTTATTTAGCTTTGTCATGGCTCCGATCAACAACTGATCCTTTTAAAATGCAAGCAACAATGAACCACCCAGGCAAGTATAAATTTTCAGGTAATTTATTTTTCAGGCCTGAATTTATATGCACATGATCAAATCTGGCTCGAATAACCACATGGGAGATATTTCTGAGATGAACTTGAATAAAATAAGGGATCTTTCATTGGTTGGAGAATGTTCATTAGATGTCTAGTACAAATCACAATTCTTTGAACCCTTTCTGCTGAACTAATTACATACCTGGACTGAAATACAGACCATAATGAAATTATCTGAACATGTATTCCAAGCAGATGGGGAAGCACAATGCAGATCCATGGAGAACAAGGAGGGAAGACTTAGGCAGTTAGGAAACCGGCAAAAAATGATGTGGTGACCTTGAAAAAATAAGCCCTCTCATGGTGACAAAACACATGTGTTTGAAAGATACTTTAAAATAAATGAAGGTTGAGTCATCCTTACTCGATACCATTCCCAACTCACCAGGGTCCAAGGTCACACAGGATTACATTGAGTACATGTAAGGATTATGTGTTACGGCCATTAATGCATCATTCAGTGTACTGTGAGTTTGTGAATGTGCTAGCCGACATGTTTTATGCCCTTTTATGACCTGTGCAGTGTTGCTTGCCTTACAGTTCACGAAAGCGCTGTGGCCACAAAACTGTTTTTAAAACTTTGAACTTGGCAACATTTTATATTGTAATGTCAATGCTCATTGTTACAAATATATATATATATATATATTTTAATAAATCTTTCTTTAAAACTCAATTGTCACAAATTCCACTAGGAATTCAGTCAGTAAATTATATATTTAAAAATTTAAAAAACAGAAATGTGCTATCTTTAAAAATGTTAATCATACTTTTGAAAATTTCTTTCTTTCTTTCTTTCTTTAGAATATTTGTATTCCGTCCTGTCGCGAAGGCCTCAGGACAGCTTACATAATGGCTTTAATGTCTCACAAACAGAAATCCATTTTACCACTATGCAGTGGGAATTCCAGTATAAGAAATGTAAATTAGGGTTATCAATCAACAGCATTAATCATTTGCACCTTTTCTGCAGTGTTACAATATTCATCATAATTTTGATATACCTTTTACACTTACGCAGTTGGAATCTAGAATTAAATATATGCTTACTTGTAACAGCTACATGGCGGTTTGTTTTCCCCTCATCAATGACATCCATAACTTCTTCAGGACTGGAGACAAACCTCTCCGTACAGCCCTAAAATGTGAGATTCAACATTTGCCAGAAAAATATTAGGAGAGGCAACTCCCTCCTGCCATAACAATAATCAGTACAGTTCCCTCAAAGACAAAACACAAAATTCAGTCCTCAGCCACAGATAAATACAGCAGCAAACAAGTGAAGTAGCTACCATAGTAACATTTGGTAAACACCCCCCAAGAATTGTAAAATCAAGCACTTGTGCTTGATACATTGGTTGTACATTGGCTATGGTCAAACAATTTGTAAAATCTATAAAAGACATGGTGGCCAAGCAACTGCACCATCAACGCACGTGGTGTTTAGGTTTGCACTGCTTCCAAGTTAAGTCACCTCCCTCAATAGGTCAGCTTCCGCTTCCTTCCATATTAAAGAGCAGAGTGGCATAGATTGGTTTAGAGGTGACAGACTGCACCTGTGGTGAACCAAAAAGGACCATCCTGCCTTAAGGGCCAGGGTTTTCCTCCACTTTGCTACATACATTATGTCTGCTAATTCACTTAAAAGGAGTATTGTAGGACAAGAGAGTCTTTTAGTATTTGTGTATGGTTCAAAAAGATACCAAAGCTTGTACTAATCTTAAAAATAGCATCCGCTCCCACGATACTAAAGATTAAAGACTTCCTTTAAATTTCGTTCATATTCATTAAATATTAATGCAAGTATTTAATTTCGGTGGGACGACTGACAAAAATGTAACTGTTTGAAATGGAAGAAAATAACCAAAATTATTAAAGTACATTAATATTTCAGAAATGCAGTGCTTAAATGCAAAGATTACTATGGTTAGATTTTTCATTTGATGAGAAATTGCTTCATTTTACCCTCCAGTGTCAATATAATATGCAGTTGTCCCTGTCAAAACACTTTACCCTATCAAAAGCCACCTTTGAGCTTTTGCAGTTTGAGCTTTAATAGATGTCAAAGCTCTGTGTTCCCACAATGGGGTAGTTCTCATTTTTCTAGCTTCCCAAGCACCTAGGGTTACAGGAAAGAGTGGAAGCGCGTGAGCACACTCAGAAGAATCAGGTCCAACAATAAAAACCCTAGAGTATCATGCTGCAAAGGGGGTACTCTATTTGCCATCCCCTTATGCAAGCATAGCTCAGTGCACTTCAGTGCAGCAGGCAAGGGAAAGCAAAGCTCCCAGGACATTGTTCAAGAGAGGCTTCCCATTTTCAACCACTGCAAGTACAGATCTATGCACTTATGCAAGACTGATTATAAATACTAACCAATTTTTAAAAGGTTTTTGCACATTTCCTGCTGTGTGGCTGATTGTCTGTCAAGTGCACCATGGGCTTTTCTGTGCCATAACCAGCCTTGTTGTTGTTGTTAGTCGCGAAGTCATGTCCAACCCATCGCGACCCCATGGACCACATTCCTCCAGGCCTTCCTGTCCTCTACCATCCCCCGGAGTCCACTCAAGCTCACACCAACTGCTTCAGTGACTCCATCTAGCCACCTCATCCTCTGCCATCCCCTTCTTCTTTTGCCCTCTATTGTTCCCAGCATTAGGCTCTTCTCCAGGGAGTCCTTCCTTCTCATTAGGTGGCCACAGTATTTGAGTATCATCTTCAGGATCTGGCCTTCTAAAGAGCAGTCAGGGTTTATCTCCTCTAGGACTGACCGGTTTGATCGCCTTGCGGTCCAAGGAACTCACAGGAGTCTCCTCCAGCACCACAATTCAAAGGCCTCAATCCTTCGGCGCTCAACCTTCCTTATGGTCCAGCCTTCACAGCCATACATTGCAACTGGGAAAACCATAGCCTTGACTATATGCACTTTTGTTGGCAGGGTGATGTCTCTGCTTTTTAGTATGCTGTCTAGATTTGCCATAGCTTTCCTCCCCAGGAGCAAGTGTCTCTTAATTTCTTGGCTGCAGGCCCCATCTGCGGTGATCTTGGAGCCCAGAAAAATAACCAGCCTACTACTGGTTATTTGCAGGATGAGTTAGCATGAGGTGCAAACTCAACCACTAAAGTATTGTTGAAGATATTGTTAAAGATTTTTTAAAAGGGAAGGCTATGAATTCAAAACAATGTCTGCTTCACACATAAAAAGCAACTGTTTCATCACACTTGCACATAGAGGTACATGAATGCAATGAGGAAAATTAACAGTTTTTATCATCATAACTTTGTGACCTTTTTTTGCTCAGTAGATATACATTGAAGGCTGAAGATATAACAATGGCAATCTGTCACAATTAACCAGGCTGGGAGAATTCAGGGACTAATTAATTGTGTGTTTATCCAGTGACTTTATTTGTTGTAGTATTTTATGTTTTGGTTCTAGTTTAGTAATGGATAGCTGCTTTTCTGTCTTTGTGCCCTATATTTGCAGTCATTTTGTTTATTTGCTCTTGAGCATCTAGTAACAATATATTTTCATATTATTTTTAGTTGTATCTGCAGGAACTCAGCATGAATAAACAAACAAACATGATCACAAAGTACTTTCAAGTACCGTGATGGAACAATTCAGATGTGTTTCCTGCATACATAGAAATGCCTTTACCTTGACATATGGAACTCTGTTCTTGTCTTCATGTACAGCAAGGTTTGTCTTTGAAACTAACAAAAAGAAACATGAGGAATCATTGATAAACATAATATACAAGTGTGATATGAGTCAAGAATAATGTGAATCCACTATAACTCAAACACGGAAGAAATCAGTAATTTGATTTTCCAAAAGCACTAGCTATGTGGAATACACCAAAATATACAGTGAGAATTTACCCAATGTCATCAATCAAGTCTTGTTCAAGGACAAGACATGAGAGACTCAGTTAGACTGCAAGAAGCAGTGCTCCACCATGCATACTTTGACTTCCTCATGAAACTACAGCACCCAAACATTGGGAGCTCTGACTTTGATCTGCTAAATAGAACTATGTTCATAGCATGGTGTGCAGTGGGGCTTGGAAGCAAGGACTGTACATGAGCTGCACAAGTGGGTTAAAAAGGGTCCACAAATGTATCTGTGACATGGCACAGAGCAAGAATCCAGCTATTGGACCAACATGTCTGCTGACTACTTCTGTAGGAGCCTGTGTACTGGGCTAACACTGATTGGGCAGCAGGCCTACCACATCACTAACTAAAAGCATAAAATGTTTCGGACAACTGTGTCAGTCAGGGCCAATTCAGATGCTGCATTCCTAGCCTGCTTCTCCTATAACCAGGGCTTTTTTTGTCATAGAATGCACCGGGATGGCGTTCCGGCACCTTTTTTTCCAATGGATTTTACGAAGTGATTTTGAATCGTGGCAGATCAGCAGCAAACATCATTAACAGAGTGCCTGCGGGCTGCTTTTGTGTCTGCTATCTGCTCTCTGATAGTGAGATAGTGAGGGCACTGCTGCTCCGGATGCTGCTCCGCTGCTTGGCTTGGGATCGGTGTGTGTAGTCGCGCGCTTGCTGCCGGGGGCGCGAGTTCCGACACCTTTTTTTTTTTTTTTTACAAATAAAGCACTGCCTATAACATTCAAAGGAGACTTCTCATTTGTTAAACCACAGCTTGCTCTGACACCCACACCAGGCAACCATATGTTTTAGAAAGTCATCAAACTAATTTTTAGTTCTGTTGGCATGGTGAACTATGGTTTAAGAAATCAGGTAATTGTCTATGAAGCTGTACACATAACAGATGAAGAATCACGCATTCTCAATCCAACAAACTGTTTTCTTGTACTGGGGATATAATATTGGAACTGGGCTTTGGGGCACAATATGCTTTAAACTAAAACATTCAAATTACTTCAACATATCTATTTTACTTTTAAAAAGAAGTTATAGTGCACTTATAACCACTCTTGTTACGGTTATAAAATTGCTTGTTTTTGAATTTTGGGAAAAAATCAAGGAAATTACTTACACCCAGAATAAATACAACAAAGATGCTAGAAAGCTGTGGCAATTGCACCAATCAGGACAAAAGCAGAAGGATCCTTTGGGAGTCCAGGAAAAAATCCTGAAATCCTGGAAGGCCTGCAATCTGGGTGCAGATGCAACACTTTTCTCTGGACTGAAATTCCAAATTACCCCATCTCCTATGTGCCATCTGCCCTTCTCTTTTGCCTAAAACCAAGCCTTTATTTGCAGCAGGCTAAATTTCTGGCAATACATTACAGCCTCCATGTGTCTCAAACAAAGCCATAAGTGCACCTATTTTTCTGGAGAGTTATAGTCCATTTATGCCTTAAGTAGAGATGAATATTGTTCCAGTACAGAAATATCATTCCAAGTCAAAATGTTTAGGAATAAGTCTATGACAAAGGCTGCTTTTTAACATTTGATTTTTCATACACTGATAAGGTGCAAACAATACCTACTGTTATTTTTAAGTCCTACTTTACTTACCATCGAGCAAGTCCCTTATTTTGTCCAAATAAATCTCAAAATAGGAAACCTAAACAAATGAAGATGTACTGATATAAATTATATACAAATGTGCAAAATATTTTAACAGTAACAAATGCAATCCAAGTTTGAATCCAACCTGTAGGTAATATCTATTTAATGCTAGATACTCAAACCATATTTTGCAATATTCTCTTGCCAAGGTTGCATTTACTTTTATATTTTAGATATGCATTTATATTGGAGTAAAAGATGGAAAAGAAATGAGTCAGAGTACATTTGAACAATTCACAAGCTGGCTAATGGGGATTGCATTAATTGCCTGAAGCACACAGAAACAATTACTAATGAGATGGGGGAGAAGGATAAATGTGGAACACAAGCAAAGCCCCAGGAAGAATTATTGAAAAACACATACTTTTTAAATGATAATAGAATCAGGAAATAAATAAGCCCCACTCATTTCAATGTAACCGACTGAGTAACATTGCTGAGGATCACAAGTGGACATACTTTGAGAGATAAATCATCAGTGCAGATTAATTGCAATGGCCTTTAATGTCTGGGAAGTTATTATAAGAGCAGACTGTGTGGCCCTACATAGAAATGGACTAATATTTGCACTGTTGAAAAAAAAGAGCCTTTGTAAAGCTGAGAGCAGTGGCGTTAATTGGCCTGAACCTTCACAAACAAGATTCATTTCCACAATACTACTAAGAACAATCCATTTGCACTTCTTGAGAAATGCACTAAGCTGATTTCCTGACTAATACATCTGTATAGTCAAGAATAGCTGCTGAGCTTACCTGTGATCAGTAATAGCATGCAATGCATTGCTCTCACCTCAGTAGAGCAAAAGAGAGAAGTAATATGTACAGAGATCCAAGAGGTGATGCAGAAACACAATTAATAATAATAGTAACAATACCAGCCAGCAGCATGACAAGAGAATCTCTCTCTAACTGGGACTTCCTAAGTTTTTCTTATACATATTTCTTACTTTTCTCATATTTTTATTTCTCTAGTAGGACAAAAGCATTATGTACAAGATCCAACTATGCAAAGGCATCACATTACTCCTTGCACTGTAAGACTTATGGAAATATAAGGAATTCAAGAGGCAACTAGCACAGTATCCCACAAAGAGACACCATCGAGTTTTCAAACTCGATCTCATATGCTGATATATGTTGACCCTGCTAACTCTAAATGACGTGGGATTACAGCATCAAAGGGCCACCTTGCTCTGTATGCTCCATCTTACATAAATCCTGCTGCTTCTCAAACTTGCTCAGTGGACAAAGTGGACATCCAGCAGAAAGAGCGCCTTTACCATCATGGTGCCAACTTTATGCAATGCTTCCTCCAAAGACGTGCACCAGGCACCTAAACTCTTCCTTTTGGCAGTCATCCTTTGAAGAAATGTTTTCTGGACATTTGCTTTTATTTTGTGACTGAATCCTGTAATTCTGTATATTCTGCTGCTACACAGAAACTGTGGAATGAATTCATTTTGTGCAGCTCTTATCAGCAACTGCAACAGAAAAGGCACTATTGGCTTACTAAGATAAATGCAAACATCTCAGTTTTATTTAATGTTTGACTGAGTATTAAACCTCTGGTCCACTGTGAGTGTTCTTTGTTTCTTGTTTTAGTCATCATTACTATTTAATGTCAGGCTCTTAAAATATGGACTATCCAGACAAAACAGTTCTATTATTGATGGAGATATTGTTTTAATTGAATTGTTCTCACTGTTCACAGCTGAAAGCTTTCTACAGGAAGTGCTTTCCTGGGCCCGATGCCTAGAAAGGGTCTGGATGCTGAGCCCGGCTGTGAGCAGAGGGATCCCATATATCGGTCCTCCCTTCCCTTTCCAGTGAAAGCCCCATGGTTGTGGTTGCTTGGATCCAAGGCCCTGCTCTTGCCCATGTACCATTTGTCTACCAAGTGACGACAAGCAAGTTGTCTTCAAATGACTCATCCACAGGTGGGCATGTGCGAAAGGAGACAAAGCATGTGAGCATCCCCTTTCTCTTCCTAGGGAAAGAAGAGGAAGAAAGAGCATGCGGCATATAATATAGTTGTGCGGGAGACAAGCACATGCTGTATGTGCCGCTGCCACCTCCACTACCAAGGGTAAAAACAATTGCTCTTTAAAAGATTAAACAGTGCAGTTGGTCTGCAATTTAACTTTTTAATATGCTGAACGATGAGTTTTATTCCATCTCTTCAATCTGAAATGAAGATAACACAATTGTTCTTATTTTGATAAAGTGCTCAGTGCCATTATGTAGGTTAATCTGGGTCTAGTTCTAATAACCTCGTTATAACCATCCAAATCTGGATCCAACCCATTATGTTAACCTCAAACATTCAACAACCTCCAGATTTAATTCCCTCATGCAGTATATTTGTTTGCTTTTGGCTGCTTAAATAAAGCTAATATGTGTGTATGCAATCCTGACTTAAAAGTGTAAAAAATACAATTTCTCTACATGATACTGCATTTCAAAAAAGACATTATCAGGCTTGATCAAGTTTTGTCAATGACAATATGATATCCAGAAAAGCCCATGGCAGATTGCCCCATTCAAGACCAGAAAGACTGTGTTTTCAGATCACACCTCTCTTGTATAATTAATTTATGCAATCATTCATTATAGTTCAACTATATCTGCTGTTGCAGCAGTATAATGCAAAATCAGTTGTTATGCTGCAGCACTTAGGGGAAAAATTAGGAAGAGCTGAACAGGCTAATTTTAAATATTTATCTATGTTTTTGCACTCACAGAAAGTAGGGGAAACACCTTATAAAAGTGTTTCCCAACCTGCTGTTTTCCAGATGTTTTGACTGCAACTCTCAGAATTCCTGACCATTGACCCTGCTGACTCAGACTGATAGAAACTGAGCTCCAAAATCTGAAGGACAACATGTTGACAAGGCTACCATAGTATTTAAACAAGCAAGAGAAAAAAGAGTTCAAAAGCCTATGCAAACTTTGATTTTTAAAATTCCAAAAGAAAAACAAAATTTCCTCAGTTACCCTAATCCATTAAAGATTAAGTTAAGGATCCAGACCTCTGAGTTACTACAGAGAATTCTGCCTGTAAATAGGAGTGGTAGGGACCTTTTAGCTATTTCTGAAGCACCTGAGAACCGCCTATACAGATTATCTATATGGGAGGTGCGTGTGCAAGAGCGGAAGGGAGAAGATGACACCCAGCTCCAGAAAGTCTAACTGAATAGAAGAATAGCTGCATGACCTTTTCAAGGGGAATGTGTGGAGAAAGGCAGGAAGAGGTTACCTATGCACATTGTGTCAGTGAACACTAGACATTTTTGCACTAGGCCAATGAGTCGGGCAAATCTAAATATTTCTGCAAACGTTCCATCACTCGCTCATTTGAAGTATGAGAGTTAAATCAGCCTTTCAGGTTCTTGCCCCACTGAGAACACCAACCCTTGGTTCATTACAAACAAATATAAAATGTTTCTTCCATGCGGCAGCATGCGCAACTCACTACTGCATGCAAAGGTCTGTGCACTGTACCTCATCAATTTAATGCGAGCATTAAATTTTCCAACAAAGCAATAAAAAAGTGGAGCTACCCTAGAAAATTCCAGTGGACAAGCAGCATTATTAATCTTTCCAAATGCTTACACATGTTTTGTTGTTGCTGCTGTTTTTACAGTTGGCTGCTACATCTGATTAACTCAAAGCTATGCCAATTGAAGAAAAAAAACTATCAGCTTGGTACAAAACTAATCCTGCCATAAGAGCCATATTTGGCTCAACAGCTCACTCCAGGATTATCCTGCTGCCTCTTAAAGCTTTTAAATGCAGCTGGTGTTAAGATGTGCTAAGCTCTTAAATCTCGATCGTATCGTTAAGAGTGACATGTACAAACTTTCTTGCCACCACAACATGCAGACAGAATCATCTCAAAATATGATTGTTAGTAGTCACTGTACACAATGGAAACATGTTTCATAGGCCTCTGCAGAGTTTTCAAATAATGCATATATTTATATTCTTTAATCCCACTGCTTGATTTACATTTCTCCAAACCACATTTGTTTTTTCCACACTCATGCATAATTTTTGGCTCCAAATGCAGACAGTTAAAAACTCATTTTATCTTTTACTGAAGGTATAGTAATGGTGGAAGGTGGAAGCAAGAGTAGAATTCAGTCCAAGACACTGAAACCTTGGAAAATTGTGTTTTGCTGAACTAAAGAATGGTAGATCCAGATTTGCTCCAAAACAACAGAAAATGCAGCACACAGTGAGAAGTGCACATTTACGTCACTGAAGTTTGACACCACACTCAGATTATTTTAACTTAATATTACATAAGGTGCCATTTTGCATTTACCTTTATATGAAATTCTAAGTTTTCATCCATGGAATAGATGTGATCAAAGATGTCATGTGCAATCCTTGGAATTATCCCCATTAGCTGTGGGTCATGTAACTTTCCCTAAAGACACAAAGGTAAAAAGCAAGTTAACTGTAGTCTGTCTCATAGCTCTAAGAGTGAGAATAATTATCTGTATGCTTATTATGTAGTAAAAGCTGTACAATAAATTAAATAAAAATAAATAGAATAAATTATGCCTATTTTGTAATTAAGACAGATTCTGTCTCATAGCTCTAAGAGTGAGAATAATTATCTATATGCTTGTTATGTAGTAAAAGCTGTAGAATAAATTAAATAAGAATAAATAAATAGAATAAATTATGCCTGTTCTGTAATTAAGACAGATGGGACCACAATCACAGTGCCCATGGTAGAGAATAGGATAAGAATCCAGACCTCCTATGTACAATTTCCCCAACAAAACCACAGGCAAGTCCTATCTGGCAATTTGGAATAAACCTCTGGTATACAGCAAAAATTTAGAAGAAAAGGCAGCTTCAGCACGACAGATACGACACTGGGCTACCACTTCAATGGAAATTAACGGGAGATGGAACTCAAGTAAGATTGTGCCTTGTTTTGCTGAGCTTACTGCCAGCAAATGCTGCCTTGCCAACATCGCTAGTAGCGTGCACAGTCAGCGTCCTTTGCTTGCTCGGGGCCTTTGAAGATAAAAGACAAGAACGTTTTTCCTGACTGCATGCCGTTTTCCACTTTTCCTCTGGGAAAAAAGTCAGTGCTATGATAATGAAGCAGCACCACTTTCTCACCTTGTTTTTGTAGTTGAGGCATAATGAAAGCATTAAAGATACAGCATTGTGACCATCCTGGCTAAAACATACAGGCTTTATTCTAAAAATAAAATTCCAGGGCCGCAGAGGTAAAAGATGGGCAGGGGTGCTTAAGAGCAACCAAGGGCTCCATATATACCAGGGGTGGCCAGTCTTGCTCAGTGGAAGAGCCATGTATGCTAAATGTCAGATGTCTGACAGCCACAAGCAGGGGCCTGTGGGCAGCAAGCGGTTTGTGGACGCCTGCGGGCACCCATGGGTGGCAAGCCACAAAATGAACTCAAGGAGCTGCATGTGGCTCCCAAGCTTCAGTCTGGCCACCCTTGATACATATCCTGTCAAACACTGGCATGGGAAGGTGTTACAACTAATAAGAACACTCTAAGCAAGGCACTGATCTGCACTTCTCACAATATACACAGTAGTGAAGGGTCAGAAGGTAGGAAATCTACCACCTTACTACAAGATCAGAGCCATGGAAATGTTTGTTTGTTCGTTCTCTCTCTCTCTCTCATAAAGGTGCACGTCAGGTGCAAGCAGGCTTATACAAAGAGCAAAAGGGAAACCTGGTAGAAAGCAGTGTGATACAGTTATCTCTTTTGGTCTATAGGAAGGGTAGAAAAGGTTGCACTTGGGGTGGGGACACATCAAAGAGGACACAATGTCAAACTAGGAACTTTGAAATGGGCAGCTTCCTTTGCAGAGCCATTGCAATTGAACATACTAGGCCAGTGGAGACAAACCTATGGCACGCGTGCCACAGCGAGCATGCCAAGCCCCCTCTGTCGGCATGCGAGCCAAGTCGCCCCAGCAGCCGAGCATCGGATAACAGCGTACATAGGGGCCATGCGCATGCTCGGAAGGGAGTAGCGGCACCAGGCGATGACATCATGAGCCGCAACTCAATAGCCGCAACTAGTCCAAGCTTTCGCATGGCTGGTCCCTGCACTGGCAGGGAGATATATGTATGTATGCTTGGCCTGACTGTGAGGTGTTTTTTCTAAACTAAAACCTCAGTTTTCAGGTTTTATTGTAGTGTGGGCACTTTGCAATAAGTAAGTGGATTTTGGGTTGCAGTTTGGGCACTCGGTCTCTAAAAGGTTCGCCATCACTGTACTAGGCTCTCAATGGAAAGTAGTACTGAGGAGATGAGTCATATGATACAAGTGCTAACATGAATTAAGGTGCACTGTGGGAAATCCTGTCCTGCCAATCAGAGCTATGGACACTGTGCTGGAGAGGAGCTATGGAGATGCTTTAATACTAGTGCAGAGATGGCCATCTTCAGACAGTCCAGGGATATCTTCTAGTCCCTGGACTATTCCATGGGCTGCAACACTTGCAGCAGAAAAAAACAAAAACAAAATTGGTGTTTTGCCATCAAACTGCTACAATGACTCATATGGCCACATATAGCTTGAAACAAACTATACTGGCTACCTTTGAGTCTCTGCAGGAATTTGATGATGAGTTTTGGAAACAAAACATATTTTCTTTTAAGGGGGAAATATATGAAATATACTACATTCTGTCAACAGCCAGATTTTAAAAAAAGAAAACAAATTCTAGTTTCTTTGCTTGCTTGCTCACTTACTTGCTTTTGTATTTTGTAAATAATACATATTTTAAATAAGGAACTATACAGATTTACAGTTCTGCTTCTCTCTTTATGTTGTTCCTATAGATTCCACTGCAGTTTTCAGATATGTTTCCCTCTGAATATGACATGCTGCAACACAATGCAGCAGGACTGGTGGAGTGGCAGCCAGGTTTAATATTTAAGTCAGTCAGACGGAAATTAAACATGAAAAACTACCAGAGTGTATAGCTGCCTAACGCAAGGGTTTCTTCCAATTTTACCATCCTCTAATTACCAGCACTATTTGAGAGGCAGAAATGGGAAAATTATTATTAAACTGCTGTCCCATAATGAAAAATTATAAGCACAGTACAGGGTAGAAGCTACATTTCACAAAGAATGTTTGACATATATACTGACAACTGACCATTGGTAGTATACATTCAGGATGTTTTAAAAGTGAGGCTTGAATTCAAAAGATGAGGTGTTTCGAAATTACATGCACTGAAAAAGCCTTTGATGGCCATTTAAAAGTGTTACAAGCTCAACCTTGCTTGACAGGAACAACTAGAATGTCCAATTCATTTTTACATTCAGCTAAATTATGGTTTCCATATAGCCTGAAGTGCCTGATCCTGCCTAATCTTGGAAGCTAAGCAGGGTTGGGCCTGGATAAAATCTGGATGGGAGACTTACATATTGTGAACTCCCCAGAGAGACTGGGGCATTATAGAAAAGTATTGTAATGTTATAGCAATAATTTATGTAGTCTTCTTAGAGGATGTCTTGAACAATGTATTGGATAGATTCAGACCACATCCAAGGACTGAGCACGAGTTAAGCAATGGATTGCCGTTGAACCCTGGGTTGTTGTTAAACACAGCTGCCATGCCCTCTGAACCCAGCCACACTACACTAAAAACCACAATTCACAACCCAACAACAAACCATGTATTATTGTCATTGGTTAGTTAGCAAATCACTGTTTCAGATAAAAAGCCACAGTTTCCCCTCCTGGGCATGGGAACAGACCAGGAGACCTAACTCCAGTGCCCCATGATTTCAGTACATATGTTACTAATGTTCCTTTTCCTGCCTCTGTCTTTCACATGCCCCCAACCAAAGTTCAGAGATCCCTTTGATTAATAAGCTTTTCTAGTCCCCACAGCTATAGAAGCACGCCTGAAAAATGAGGGCATGGATATTATCAAATCATGACTTCTATGCTGAAAAAAATTGCTCACTACTACACATAAGTACCGAAAAGCAAAACCCCTAGATCTAATCTTAGAATGGCATTTCAATTTACACAAAGCATTCTAAGACTGTTCAAACATTCATTGAAACCATGATCAAGCCTTTAGAAGAGTATCCACAGGTTCATATGCTCCCTCTCTCCACCACCCCTCCTTCATTTGCACATTCCCTCTTCCACAAGCAAAAATGAATAGCATTAACTTCCAAAATGACAGTTTGAAAACCAACTTCAAATGGGGTCTGAAGGTATCCCAAGCACAGCAGGCCAATTCCAAAGGCATGTCAACTCTACTTTGCAAAAACAAGCCAGTGGAGGAAGAATCAGCTGCACAAAAGCAGGAAGAGAGAGACCGCCAGTCTGCTCCCATGTGCCAGTCCATGGCTCTGGAATGCAACCCAAGTGAGCCTGGAACAGCTCAGTTATCTGCTGCAACAAAAATGAGGAAGGGTCCTGTGGCATCTAGAAGCTTTGGTTTCTCTAAACACATTGCACTTGGAGTTCCTGATTAAGAACACCCCTGTTCCAAGGGATATGCAGCATTTTACAATGCCAGAAATGTACTTACGCCAAAAATTCCTAGGTTTGCCCAGAATGATTTTATGACCAAGGATAAATGCTAAGGAATCACAAGAGAAGTAATGTGGGAAGTATGGGACATAAGGGGAGGTACCATAGATTAGGGAAGGACTGGTAACCTGCAAAGAATTTTCTCATTAAGATTCAAAGTCTTTTCCAACCAGGAAACTCTGAAGCATTAAGCATTTAAGTGTGAAATCTGCCATAAAATTGGTTTTATCTTTAGGAAAAAGCGATCCCTCATCCTTAAGAAGCCCCACTGCCCCACTAAAAGGTATGTTTAAGAGTATTACCAAAAAGGTTGGAGTAAAAAGAGGATTTAAAAAAAATTAGTATTGACATATCATAACAAGGACAGTAATACAAAAAAGACAGCAAGCACGCCCTTTTTTCTTACAATAGTCTGAGCTTGTAATTCTGAATACAAATTGGCTTTCAAAGAGTTTTTTCTCTCTACCAACTCATGGACCACAGGCATTTTGATTTGATTACATTTTGAACAGGTGGATTACTGGGCTATAACACCATCTGCACAGAAAAAGCAGATGATGCTTCCTACCTACTCTACCTTCAGACCTGTTTTCTTATAAGATAGCAAAGATTTAGCTTTGCTAAAGGTGGCATTTTTTCCATCTTTAGCTTAAAATGGAATGCTGGGCAAGTCACTGAGGGCATCAGTTATCGTATAAGACGCTAATGGCGACTTTCTATTTCCTCTCTTATAGTTGACTGAACATCCATTAATTCATGTGGACTTTTGTTCCACCCATCCTGCAACATCTTAAGGCAAGCCACATTTAAGTCTTCATATTTAAAAACGCAGACAAAAGTAAACAGAAAAGCTCAGACCTGATTTGCATACAGCAACAAGCCAGAGAATGGGCTGAGCATGAGCTGTTGTTGGCTTGTGGGTTGTTGCTACAATTGAACCTTGCAACAATTGAACCTTATCTGCCTTCTTCAGATAAGTCCAAAGTAAAGACAGAGGCAAAAATGGGTGGGGGTTCAACTACTCAATGTGGATGGCAAAATAAAGCAAATGACAAAGAAAGGAAGAAGTGCTCAATTTCTGCTTTGGCTCAGTTTTTTCCCCAAAAGAGTTATCATCTTCCTGACAAAAGGGAAGTACAAGCTGAAGTAACAGGGTGGCAGCTCAAGACTGATAAACAAATGGTCAAGCATCATCTAATTCGGCTGAATGAGTTCAAATCTCCAGGGCCTGATGAACTCCATCCTAGAGTCATAAAGGAACTGGCAGAAGAATTCGCAGAACCACCACTGTCTATTATCTTTGAGAAATCATGGAGGATGGGGGAAACTGCCAGATGACTGGAGAAGGGCAAATATTGTCCACAAATTCCATGAAAGGAAAAAAGGAAGAACCTAGAAACTACAGACCAGACAATCTGCAATCAATCTCTGGGGCAGATTATGAACCAGTCATTCTGCAAACAACTTGAAAACGATACAGTGAGGTTAAAGAAGCTATCAAAAAACAAATCCTGCCAAGCTATTCTGCTGATTGGGTAACCTCCATGATAGAGTTTAGGAATGCTGTGGACATACTATACCTGGACCTCAGCAAAGCTTTTTACAAGTGTCCCATGATATCCTGATTAGCAAACTAGCTAAAACGGGGCTAGATAGAACAACTATCAGGAAGATCCACAGTTGCCTACAGAATTGGACTCAGAGAGTGCTCATCTATGTCATCTTCTCAAACTGGAGAGAGGTAACAAGTGGGGTACCACAGGGTTTAGCCCTGGGTCCAGTGCTTTTCAACTTTTTTTTATGATTTGATGTGACTATCAAATTTGCAGATGATATAAAACTAGGTGGGATCACTAATACCCTGGAAGACAGTGACCAGATTCAAGGTGACCTTGATAGGCTGGAGCTCTGGGCGGAAAACAAGACAATTTCCTAGTTAAACACCTAGAAAAATATATCAAATGCATCATTACAATATGGAGAACAGTCGGCTCAACAACACTGCAAGTGAGAAGGATCATGGAATTGTTGTAGATCACAAGCTAAATAAATAAATAAATAAATAAATAAATAAGCTGAATACGAGTCAACAGTGTGATATAGGTGCGAAAAGGGCAAATGCTATTTGGGCTGCAAATAGAAGATCACTTCTGAAACCTGTGAAGTACTAGCTGCCCTTTTCTGAGTACTGGTTAGGCCTCATCTGTAGTACTGTGTCCAGCTCTGGACAACAGTTTAAGAAAGATGCAGACACACTGGAAAGGGCTCAGAGGAGGGCAACAAGGATGACTGGGGGACTACAGACAAAGATGACTAGATTGGGGGACTGAGATTGAAAGAACTGGGCATGTTTTGCCATGAGAAAAGAAGACTGGGGGGAGTATTGTAGGCTATCTCAAAGAGGATGGGCAGGATCTCTTCTCGAGTGCAGGACACGGAATAATGGACCCAAGCTACAGAAAGCCAGATTCCAGCAAGACATCAGGAAATACTTCCTGACTGTTATAGTAGTATGACAATGGAATCAGTTAGCTAGGGAGGTTGTGGGCTCTCCCACACTAGAGGCATTCCAGATGCACCTGGACACCCATCTGAGAGGGATGGTTTAACACAGAGTCTTGCACTGAACAGGGAGTGGACCCAATGGCCTGATGGCTCCATCCAACTCTACTCTTCTATGATACCATCTCTGAATGCATCAAGGTGTCTTATACCAAGTCAGTGGCCAGCCTGGTATTACCTACTCTATGCTCTATTCCTGCCCAGCAGAGATTTACATTTGTTTCAAACAAAGATCAGAATATCTTGGTAGAAGACTATGAAAACCACTCAGAAATACATCTCACTGGGTCACTGAATATGAGATGTAATCCAGATAGAAACATGGGAGGCTCTCTCGTACTGAGACAGACCACAGGTCTGTTTAACCCAGCACTATTCATCTGAACCGGCAGGGCTTCGGGCAGGATTATTTCCTCAAGCTACCAGAATATGATTCGGGGGAGGGGGGTGAACCTGGGACCTTCTGCTGGCAAAGCATGTCCTCTACCACTGAGCTACAGCTTCCTTGCAAACAAGAACTGAGAGCAGCAGCCAAGAACTTTCTGCAACACTCTTGAGAGAAGACATCTATAAAATCAGCACTCCAAGACGTTAGACAGTGCTTTTGACAAATATCCATTTGGAACAAGGGAAAAAACCTGCCTGACAGGTAAGATTACTGTCAGGGACACCAAAATTACATTAATTACATTTAACTACAACTGGCATTCTTAAAATCCTGGCAGGAGTGGGCGCTGGTTGACTTCTAGCACACCTTGCAGCATGTTATTTTCTTGTTCCGTATGAGCTGCATATTCATTCATAAAGAAATCAGCTGATGAACTTTTGGAAAGCTTATCTTTCACTACCAAAAGCCACAAATACAGTCATCCATACTGACCAGACACTTTAGTCTGGCAACAAATAGGGAAATCTGCTGGTTCCTCTGTCACTTGAGCTAACAGTGTGTACACTAACCACTGGCAAATAAGCAATACAAAAAGCATTGCCCTGGACTGATTCTTGTGATGCCAGTGTTCCAGAACTGTCACGGGTTGGAAAGCCAGGTTGCTACAAATTCAAAAAGGAATTTAGCATAGAAGAACAAAGGAAAAAAGATCTATTTTGTGAACCATCCAGAAAACTCCACTATTGGAGTAATAGATTGTGTTTAATAGTTCAAGCTGAGCATTGTTCACCAGTAGAAGCTACTCTTGGTTAGTAAAATTTAGCTTTGTGTTTTCACATTAAGGTAAAGGTAAAGGTTTCCCCTTGACGTTACATCCAGTCATGCCTGACTCTAGGGGGCGGTGCTCATCTCCGTTTCCTAGCCAAGGTAGCCAACGTTTGTCCGCAGACAGTCTCCGTGGTCATGTGGCCGGCATGACTAAGCACCGAAGTGCACGGAACGCTGTTACCAGCCCACCAAAGTGGTGCCTTTTTATCTACTTGCATTTGCATGCTTTCGAACTGCAAGGTTGGCAGGAGCTGGGACGGAGCAACAGGAACTCACTCTGTTGTGCAGATTCGAACCGGCGACCACTCAATCAACCAGCCCAGCAGCACAGCGGTTTAAACCACTGCGACACCTGCAGCCCCATTTTCACATTAAGGAAGCCTAAATGAGCTCTGATAAAACCCCAGAATAGTTTATGGGGGGGGGATCCCTTTGATTGAAAAATATGCCATTGCTTAGGGAGAGAGTAAAAATACCTTCTGATAAGCCAACCTTGTGAAGTCCTTCCTATAAAAAAGAAATGCAACCTATTTATACTATATATAACTATATTTATACTATAACTATAATTACCTTATGAGTAAACACACACTGTAATGTTTGCAGAAACATGCAGTTAAACAACAACAACCTAATTAAATTATCACCTAAAAGGAACTCACTTGGAGGATCAGTTTTCCTTACTTAGCATAAGGGGTTACTGACCCACTGAAAACTACCCTGTTCTGCATTGGGCTCAAGGCACAGCCATCTCCAAGCTTCAGTTCGGGGTTCTGCAGCTCAATTTCATTCTGATGAGCACTAATTTGTGGGCTCAGTTGTACACAACTGCTGGCACTCCAAGAAGGACAAAACAAATCTCTTCCAGAAATTTTTCTGGCCAGCTCATTTTATCTGCTCCTTCTAAGCACCTTCCAGGCCTCAGAAGCAGCAGAGAGTTTCACTGGCATTACTATCTTTAATTGAGTAGTATGTCCAGTAGACTGCTCAATAATAAAGGTGTGTTTATTTAAGTAAATATCTGTGTCCAGACTAGAATGCCCCTGTTATGCAAATTTCAAATTATGAATGTGTTTGTATACACACAAAACAACCAAAACATGGTTTTTATGAAACTGTATTTTAAGAGCTGTTTTGTATTTTATTTTCATCATTGTCTATTTTAGGACTAAAGTCTGCTTTAATTGCAAGCTGCTGTTACTGCTCTTACATGTATATTTTAAGAAAGACTCTTACCTCCATGGTATGTGTTTTTCCTGAAGATGTTTGACCATAAGCAAAAATTGTACCATTGTAGCCTTCCAGAACATCTGAAAATGGAAAAATAGAGTCTGTTATATTTATAAATTACCAAGAAAAAAGCACCGTATGTTTTAGTCCTGATTTAGCCAAAAGGAGGTACTGTAAAATTAAATGAGGATATCTGGTAGAAAATGTACAGATGTACTGTGTTGCTAAGGCAACATAAAGAAACAGGACTTCTTGACAGCGAGATCTAATCTAGATTATGGTTTCCTTTATGCCTTCCTTTTGCTTCCCTGCATAAATGTCCTTTGAATACTGTTGAGTGTCCAATTTACTCCTTTTGGAAGGTAAGGAACAGAAAAAATTGCATGCAGTATATAAACTATCCTACACTGCAGAGGAAGTAAATCAATTCCATATTTAATGTCTGTCTACCAAGTCTTCTCAGTCTAAGATTAATTTTTATATCTTCTGCCCTCTTGTTTGACAGGAAAAGAAACATTACAAGGTTGACTGCTGTAGCTCCACTCTTCAAACCACCGGCCTAGTCTGAATTTTGGTCATTCTGAGAGGTGTGCTGGTGTGTATAAGGGGGCAGAAGAAACTGCCCCTAAAATGAGGAAACATGGGACCCATGTCTAATAAATTTGCATGTGCTGGAAATGGACTATTGGGGCGATGGCATAGTGTCTGTGTGTGTTGGCGGGGTGGGGTTAACACCCCCTTCTTCTCCTCTGTGCTGTGGAGCTCATCCTTGATATGGCTGTTCCAATGGAATTCCAATCAAAATCAGGACTGCCAAAAATTAGCATTAGGTTTTTAAAACCCAGTAAACAACTGAAGGACCACTGCTGATTTCTTTCCCCAGTCAAGCACAGAAAGGAACCTTTCTAAAGAATGTAGTAAGTATGTAGTGCAGTTCAAATACTGAACTATGTCCTGAGATCACATTACTCTCAATTTTTGATAAGAAACAATGGATTCAGAATAATAAAGGATTAATAGCAAATTTAACAACAGCTGCAAGATTAATTATAGCTAAGAACTGGAAAGAAAAATATGATTATCAATTGTGTGATTGGTGGAAGAATTCTGGAATATAGCTATTAATGATAAAGTGTGAAAAGGGTTAAAGAATAATTTTAATGAGATTTGGAGTGCATTTATTGAATATGTGTTAAAAAGGGGGAAAGGATTTGAACTTTTAGAAGTGTCATTGCAATTTTGGAAGAGAGACATTTCTTTCAAGAATGCTTGAATGAGTTTTCAATGTATCCAATGGTCCTGGTGAAAAAACACAGGTTTTTTTCTTCATGAATTATTTTAACTGTATGCTTAATGCTTAATGTTCTATGTTTTTATTTTTTTAAATGTAAGTTTTAACTGCATTTTATATTGAAAAAATAATTTTGAAATTAATAAAGGAAAGGAACCCTGGCCTCTTCAATGTGAGAAACAGCTAGTGATGTCTAAAGGGGCAGGGAGGAGGGGGCAGGGGGGGAGAGTCCTCCTACCCAACCATAAGGTAAGTTGATTCTCTTCCATGCAAAATTTTCTCAGTAGCTTTAACTCTGTGCCCTCCTCCACAAAGCCTCCAAGAAAAAACAAATGGCAAGTGAGCCACAGGTTCTCCCCCACTACTAGTTTCAGATAAAGAGTTTAAAAAAATCATCCATCCTCTACATCCCATGCTTATTGTCTCTCCCCCATAACCCACATCCTCAGAGTGCTTCATGCTAGAGATCAGATGGCAAGAGGGGATAGCCTGAAAGAGAACAATACTTTCAGTGTCTACTTCTTCTGGAGTGCGAAAGAGACACACCCAACATCGAAAAAGAGAGATCGTGCCTGAAAGAGGCAACGTATTTCCCAAATTTTGTAAAGTTACTTTGGCTCATACAATACGACATTTTGAAAACATAAACAAGAGAATTAGGAAAATTGATCATTTTAAAATTAGAATTGTAAGAATAAATTTATTTATTTATTTATTTATTTATTTAAAACTTTTCTATGCCGACACCACATGCCTTGGCATCTCAGGGTGGCTCACAAACATACAATTAAAATAATAAAACAATAACGAATTCCATAAAATTATATAAAAACAAAAACAAAAAAGCAACAACGATAAAATATTAATTTTAATACTGCAGCCCAAACCTCCTAATTACCTCTCCCAGCGGTTTCATGTAGATGTTGAAAAGCATGGGGGACAAAATAGAGTCCTGCGGAACCTCATGGCACAACTGTCACAGCGCAGAGCTATAGTCCCCCAGCATCACCTTCTGGAGTCAGCCAGCCAGGTAGGAGTGGAACCACTGCCAAGTAGAGCCTCCTACTCCTAACCCGGCCAGCCTATCCAGAAGGATACCATGGTCGATGGTATCGAAAGCCGCTGAGAGGTCCGGGACAACCAACAGGGACGCACTCTCCAACAGGGACGCACTCTCCCTGTCCCTCTCCCTGTACAGGTCATCGTACATGGCAACCAAGGCAGATTCAGTGCCATAACCAGGTCTGAAACCAGACTGAAATGGGTCCACATAATCCGTTTCATCCAAGAGTGCCTGGAATTGTGAAAATATGTGAAAATCAAGAGGTGTTCTCTTATTACATGTAGTGAGTTTGCCTCTGTTTGTATCCCCTGGGAAGATTCCAGGATTGCATCCACCAGAACAAATAACTTCAGAGTTTTGAACAACCTTAGAATAGGCATATCTTCAATCAATACCAGGTTACAGATATAGATGCCTGCTCTCAGGTTTACAGGGAACTGGCAATTCCAGAAGCAGTGCAGAAAACTGGGCTTGCATGCAGCTTCTGGCCTTGACAGTATGCTATAGAGTCCAGCAAATCAGCCAGAATAGTGAAACCAATTATAATATTTAGAAAGAGAAATTGAAAACAAATGCATACCCTAGGCAATTTTTTTGTTACAGCAGCTTTTTACTAGAAAAAAAAGAGTGACTTTAAATATATCTATCTACCTACATATGGAGTGGGGGAAGAGAAAGCACTATCCTTTTGATAATACTCATGTTTAGATGATCGACTGCCTATCAGTTGAGAAGTGAAATTGAGATTATAGAAAACAAAGTGTGCATGTATGGTGGATTCCCTATGCATGGATAAATATAAAACTCTATACATTAAAAGGAGTGCCTTTGTCAAAAGGAAAATTAAAAAAGAATGCCCTGGAGGCTCTAGGACCTGCATGTTTTGAAATCTACAGAATTCTGAGGGAGAAAGAACATTCTAGAGTGACTCATTTCATAGTTTAGAGGAGACTCTTCTGGGCAGTGGAAGCTGGTGGCTCCCATGTCAGCAGTGCTGTGCATCTGCCCCTGACTCAACAGAAATAGCTTCCCCACACCCTTTTTACAGTAGAAAGCCTGTGCTAAATCCTGCTCTATTCTTAGCAAAGCAAGCCTTTTTGTTAATGGAGGAACAAGTCTAAAGCAACACTTTATATCAGAATGTCCATTTTGGCTGCTGCCCTGCAAAGGGGAAATGCTGATGTCCAATCAAGGCAATGATAACATTATAAAAGCATCCACTGTTCTCTATCAAAAGATCTTGCATCTGCCCTGGGAGAAGAAACAAAACTAAACAAAAAACCTGCACTAGAACTGCAAGCTGGCCAGACACTGTGGGTCTAGCGATTCAGTCTATGACCGAAGCAACAGAGCCACAGTCATGGAAAGTATCAATTAAGCATATCAGGAGCCAGTGCAGTACAGTGGTTCGGGTGCTGAACTGGGACTTGGGAAATGCGGGTTCAATTCACCACTTGGCCGTGCAGCTCACTGGCCTCTCACAGATTCTCATTCTAACCTATGTTACAGGGTTGTTTAGCAGATAGGGAGTTGTTTTTCACAAGGAGAGAAGGAGGACAGTGTAAGCAGCCTTGATCTCTTCACAAGGGGAAAAATGGCTCAGTATAAATGTAACAAACAAACAAGGACAGAAGACCAGAAGCAAAATAGTGGCAGTAATGGAATCTATTCCATTCCTAATGAGAGACTTAAAATTTGCAAAGTGTAGAAAGTGCATTAGAGATCTTATACCTTCTGAGACATTTACATTCACCACTTAATGTTTCCAGCCTGCCAAGAAACCCCTAAATGGCCAGCAAACTTACAATTATGCGGGATTCAAAGTCTCATTCTGAAAGCCTTCCTGAAAACAGTTTTGTATTGATTTTCAGTTCAGTGAATTGGCAACTTGGTAAAAAATAAATTATACTTGGATATTACTGAGGCCACTGAGTCTCCTGGTAAAGCAATCAAGTGCTGTTTTCCATGCATACTTATAGACCAGATTTTTTTTTAAAGCACCCATGATTGAATTTCACAGATTTTAAAATAGCCAGACTTGGATACCCCATGTTTGATATGACAAAGTTACTAAAATATGTGACTTTTGTAGTATCTTTATAGACAGAAAGATATTATGATCAATTATTTTAAAGAAATGAGGCTGCCTTTGATTTGCTACATTTTCACACATGGACTTGCTCTTCTACAAGATAAATATACCTTGATTACCAGGTACATTAGTCTTTTCTCAAATTAAAAAAGTCATTCTAAGCTTACAAGGTATAGTTTACAAAGTTAGTAACAAATCTGGAAGAAATAGCCAAACTGCTCTAAAAAAACCTGGCTTACTTTGCTTAAAGGCCATTCCCTTGCACCCATGGAGCTGTCCAGAGGCATGGTGCTGACTGGAGAGACATTAAAGGCATTGCAGACATGTGTGTTCAGAATTCTGGTTTCTTTATATACACTGCATATTCAACACACTATGTCAGAACATGTTTGCTACTGATCTACTCTGAAACCATCCCATGTCCATAATGAAATTGCAGTTCAATACTATATCTATACCCTTACCTTCCTGTCTTAGAAGATCCCACTGATCTGTTCATGCAATAAGAATATTTTTGATTTACTATTCTTCCAGCTTTGTGCAATGAGTGGCTTCTTTTTCTCATTACTGGACAAATCCTATATCCTTCCAGTTTCAGATTTATGTATGGTTGATATGAAATCACCTGGATGAT